TGCGTCTTTCCTCCAATATTAGATATGAACCAATAAAACGGCGGGGGTAATTCACCTTACTACATAACTAAGGAAAGATAGATGTATTATTTCAGTTTACAACTTTGGAGATTTTTCTTATTGTTTAGGAATATGCAAGAAGGTTACAGGAGCAAGAAAATAAGGTACGCTTTTTATACTTACGATGTTTCTCGTACTTTTGTTTCGGTCATATATCTTTCACAGAAGAAATGTTAGCTATGTCGACAACAAGTACATGTGTCTACCACACACGTGAAAAGTGCTTGTCGCGCGCGCTGATTGCTGATTGGCTATTTAGCAAGTGCTAGTCATTTCTTAGCAGCCGTAGAAACAGAATCGCGTGTCAAGAGTTTAATTTTTCGACCATTTTTCGCAATATTGAAAGAATTTAGTCAATTTTTCGGTCTCTGTGTGGAATATGCAGAAACAATTATCCACCTCAGGGTCGGTGAATAATGGTGGATATTTACCTCACCGATTTGCGGCTCGGTAAATATCCACCACTATTCACCACCACGTCGGTGAGTGATTGTCAACTGCTGGGAAGATAATCTCAAGAATGTTTTTTAACCATCCGTCTCTGAATATTTGATGCTGTCCGCAATTGAAATCTCTTCAGTATTTGTGTGCCTAGATGGTGTTGAGCTAACAACAATTTATTCCTTTTCAGTTATTAGAACAAGACCGTCAAGCGGAACACGACAGAAAGCTAGCACTGGAATATCAAGACAGGGTATGCGCCAGTTAATTTGTGATTATTGAAGATCTGGTCAAGATGTTTCAGCCTAGAGCGCTTTTCAATTGAGCGTCATAAGACCGAAACCATAGTAAGCACATCGGCCAATCAGATTAGAGAGAAATCCAAAAGGACTAATGAGAGGGCAATGTTAGCGCACGTGACCGGCGTTAAGCGCGGTAAAATGTGAGTGACCCAATGGCGATTGGTTATAGTTTTGCATCTGATTGATTGAGGGGATAACGCCAGTTTTCTAGCCGTCCTAATTGAAAGCAGCTTACAAGGATTTTTTTCTTGAGCTGTTTAACACGGTCCTTCGTGAAGGCTGTGTCCTTAAACTCTCTCCTTTATGTCTTTCGCATCTTAAGGAATTTGCCAAAGAGCTTCAGAGAAGGGAATATATTCGATTACAAAAGCTGAAGAGAGAAAAACAATTACAGAGAGCACAGTCAGTTCCTGCAGAAAGCTCGTCTGGAAGTACTGGAGAACTGCAGGTGAGTTGTTCGCTTTCAGGAATATAACTGCAAGTTCCTTGATTGTTCCCTTATCTTAGAAGGCCATCCGTTTTGTTGCAAGCTAAATTTGCCGGTGTAGATTACAAGACAAGTTTACCCCCCCCACCCCCACCCCCTCCCCAAACTAAAAGGGAATGGGATTTAAGTGTGGCAAACTGGGTCGAGTGCATGATTTCGAGGTGCGTTTCGTTGTGAAACACACAACATAATTTTCTTCAAATGCCTTGTGATTCAATTAATTTTTTGAAACTCAGAAGGGATTTCCAGTGTTTTTTTGGGCACGACAGCTTGCAGGGCTCGTACGGGTCCTGGAAAACCCGTAAAGTCCTGGCCCCGGTTGTTCGACGATCGATTAACACTATCCACTAGATTAATCTTTATCCGGTGGATAACGCTATACGTTTTGCTATCACTTATCCGCTGGATCGCGATTTATCAGTTGGATAGTGTTATCAGCCTTTATACAACTGGGCCCTGGAATTTCAATTTGACATTTTACAGGACTGGAAAGTCCTGGGAAAAGACAACTGGTCCTGGAAAATCCCGGAAATCTGCTTAAATCAAGAAATAAAGATTTCCGGAATTTATGTTATAGGAAATGTATGTAGACAGTAAGGAGAATCGATTTTAAAAACTTGGAAATGAAAGGGGCTAAGGGGAAATTTGGATTCCTGGAAAAATTGAAAAATCAATCTGAGTCCTGGAAAATTTCTTAAAATTTGTTTCTGAGAAAGGATACGAACCCCGGGCAGCGCAGAAAGATTGAGTAAGCAATTCTTTTTTTCTTTCATTTAGTCATGTATTTGTGTTTATTTGCTTGATTGTTCACATATTTCTTTGATCCTTCCTCTTTCAGTCGCATCAGAGGCTTCCTTCTTACGAGGAAGCAACACACAGAAACCAAATGCCCGATCTACTGCAGGATGAACCAGCCTTTAAACCAGAACAAGATGCTCAAGGAAACGACTTTTCACATCGTAAATACAGCTGCCCTGAGAGACCAGCTACCTCGCGTTACAACGGTTCATTTGAACGAGAAATTAATGGTGCAAACCAATTGTCCCGAACCAGTTCTAATTCTCCGCCGAGCACGATACTCGACAGAGATCCGCTACGCCAACAGGAGTACAGATCGTCCGATTCTCCAAACTCATCGCAGCAATCTTCGTTGGAAAGATCGGCAGAATTTGTCAGGCAAACTTCCCAAACGTCCTCAACTAGTTCATCGTCTCAAGTTCAGGCTCTCGCGTCTCCGACATCACCGGTGACCCAAGAAGGGATCTGGGAACGACTCTATGAGGAAGGAGACCAGATTCCGTACGGTTCACGCGACCGTAGAGTCTTGGAACGGAGGGTAACTGTGGCAAGTTCCGAGCCTTCCAATCATATCACCACCGAGTTAGTTAACAATGGAAGTATTCCTAATGGAAATGAATGCAACATTGCAGAATTTATAGACCCCACCTTTGGCCGTAAGTCCCAAAATAGCAGTACAGAAGAAGACCCTACGCCCTCTCCGACGGGAGTTGAGTCGAAAGCTAAAGCAGTGCCGCTGATACAACCGCACCGTAGGCGCAGCTCAGATAAAAAGAAAAGAGAGAAAGAAAAAGAATGCAAACAGCAGTGAAAATCGGAGGATAAAGCGAGTGTCCAAGAACAGTTCTTCGTCACTGTAAATAGTGAATGGTGCCCGAGTTGTAAGCTCGGTCAAAGTCATTAGTATTTTTAAATATTGACAGCTATTGATAGTTGTACAATTTAACATAAAACCGTAATGTAAGCCGAGCGATGTTTCATCACCGATAATTGATTATGGTGTTCCCAAGCTTTTCCTCCGCAAATTATTAAAGGTAAAGCGAAGGGCACGATTGAGTACGAGCACTCCCTGCTTTTCGGCAAAGTCTGTTGCACGAGTCAAAACCGAAGGAAAAAATGAGGGTAATAAAAAAATGATTTTAGCGCATTGCGCGGAACTCTGGGAATGAGGTACACGGAAGGTACTCTACGCGGAGCGCAGAATCCGAAGGTCTGGAGTTCGATTCTTCGTGGGGACTCAGAATTTTGTCTTTGTCGCATACCCGTGATCTGACGAAAAACTTCTTTCTTTCTTTCTTTACCGAGCTCAAAACTCACAATCTTTCTTATTTTACTCTACCACTTCCTTGTACCCAGTGTTCAGCGCAGCACGCTAACAATTTTTTTACTCTCTGATCAGTTTTGACTCTCGCTACGAACTTCGCCGAAATGAAGAAACTGCTCGTAGTCTAAGGACACGAAAGCTCGAGATCGAACTCACCACGCATTTTTCATGTAACAAAATGGCGTAATTACCTCTAGAGTACTCTCGTGAGTTTGTGGAATTATTTTGCTGGTCAATAGGTTATTAAACTATGCAAGCACTTTGATAAAGATGTACGAAAAAGGATTTCAAGCCGAAATTATGATCTTGATAAAACTGGAAAAAACCCGCAATTTAAGTTAGTTGGAAATAATTTAGCTCTCTCTCCCTCTCTATGGAATATTTTTGCCTGTTTGTATAGTTTTTAGATGATCTAAACGTTTCGTTCTTTGCAAGTTATTCCATCGATTTCAGCATTAAATGGTATCCAACTTTAAGAATCACGTTTTCTTTGATCTCAAGCCATTTTTTCTTAAAACTCACACCTCTAAGCTGGCGAAGGGAAGTTTATTTTCAGGATATATTGACGGAAAGACTTGCTGCGTTTTAAAACTTTCATATCAAGCAGTTTTAAGAGTAAATTTTATTTTTCAGAGATCGTCCAAAAAAAGAAGAAAAACTGCAAACTATTGTATGATGTACAAATTTTATTAAATGCGTAATGATAAGGTACAGGAAAGCTTCCCACAGGAATTCAGAAAAGTACGTTTTAGAGCTTTATTTAAACGTTGTGGCTTGTAGCCATGAGTTATGCATCATCATGCAACAAGTTAGAGGTGGAACTATTGTTTTCAGAAGCGAAGTATGCGGAATGCTAAAGAAATAAAACTTCCTCAAATTTATTATGTTTGTGCGAATATTCAGGTTTGCTTGTGACGGGGAACAGGAATTACTGTAATGTACTTGAAAGACGCCCTTTGTAAGAGCATAACTTGAAAATTTGCGAACCTATGATTGGGGAAAACCGCGATGTTGAGTACACCCTATCACCATGCATGTTTTTCATACTATTCTCTATAAAGGGAGTAATTTTTGAAGACACCGTGGTACTGATTCGGTCTGGGGTATAACAAGATCATTTGGTTTCGTCACCTGAATTGATAACGTAAATTGGCCACCATACAGTTTGTAAAGCTGACGTTTCGAGCCCTTCGTCAGGGTGAATGTGGTGGGTTTGCACTCCTTTACTCCGTTTAAAGTCATTATAGTCCTATTAGGCGGTATGGTTGCCAAGTTAAGTCACGATTCGCATAAGTTAAGAATCGTACTGCTGACAAGGAACCAATATGACTCTGGGCTCAATATTGGCTAAATTTGCATCCAATACATGACCTGCCAAGTTGTCACAAAAGAGACTGGGGAGTAGACAGCTCTTAAAATTCCTGTTACAATTACAATGTTTCGTTAAGTTGTCTCAGTGGGGAGGGTTCTCTCTGGTGCCCTGAGACCAAGAGACTAGGCTATATTCCTCAGGTAACCTTTCAGCACAATCAATTGAAGATCAAAAGGACTAACTCTTGACCATAGTTCAGTCTCCAAAGTGCCTATGTGTCTCGAAGTTTTCTTTTATTGTGGCAAAATGAATGATTTACAGCTGTTATACAATCCTATCAACAACTACCAGCTGTACTACTGACAAAGTAATCACAAATTTGCAATTCAATCAATTATCACAGAAAAATATAACACCAAAATCAAGAAATTACATAGCACACAATTTTGCATGTATGCAATGCAAATGCTCAAGTATATATGTCGTAATTACATTAAAAAGTCATCATTTGACATGACCACTCTACGGGATGAAACACATTTAGCTTTACCAACCAGGGAGAAAACCTGCACTTCTCACAAGAACCACCACAGTTGAGCAGGGCAAAGCTAAACTACTTGATGTATTTTAATAAATAAATCTAACTGGCAAGCTAAATCTGCTGCATTTGCTTTCCCAGAAAGTTTCTGTTTCTTATAACAACAGATCCAAAGGGGAGGCAGACCATCATTTCTCCTCCTAGATTTCCTTTTTTTTTCCCTTCGTTTCTTTTCATTACCATTTACTAATTACATCAGGAGTACATATTCAAATGTGGACACTTTGCAGATCTGTATGGATCTAAAATGTGTGAATTTCTAAAACTGAGCTTTAGTGTATGTACACAAGTGAGAAAATAAAAAAAAATGGTTTCATTTAGCAATGGAGATCAGAATATTATCTGCTTGCTGCACAGAACTCGCTGACTCAAGTCCAATGACCTAGCATTTCCACATTCAGATGTGGAACTGTCACGCAGTATACAATCCCATTACTCTACAGTATTTCCTGAACCATATTTCTTAAAGAAAATCCCAAAAAGATGCCTACTGACAGAGAATTTCCATTGGACAATCCCAAAAAAAGGACTTTTAAAATTATTCACAGCCATAACAATTGAACATCACATTGACAAAGTTAAATTGAATAATGATTCCATGGTTATCCATTGAGTGATGCACACTAAAAGCTTGGTGACTGGGTTTTAACCCTAAAATTAAGGTGTTATCACAGGCAACCTTCCATGCTTCCCTTAGTAACTGTGGCTCACCATCAAACATGAAACTCTACCATAGAGTTCACACAACACCTTGCCACTGGAAATGGGGCCAATTGCTCATGACAACAATATGATTTTAATGTCACAACATGGTTGCCAAACATCCATTTGCACCTCTCTCAATTGAAAATAGTAATCATCTGATATTAAAGGACTGAAAAACAAATATCGAAATCTTATCATGCTACAACTCCCACTGAAGCGTCTGTTATTAACACACGGGTGAAAGTGATCATTGACTAGAACTGTCCTAAAGATTATAACACTGTACATTGACGGTGCTTTCCATTTACCAGCTCTGGCCAGAATGTAGGAAACAGTTCCAGCCAGTGTAAATGGAGAATGAAAGTTCACTTCTCTTGAGCAAAGGCATGTGAGTTGTTTTCTCCCAGAAGTTTTCCATGCCAGAAGTTTTAACAATTATTTTCATACCATCAAGAGCATTTCATGAATGGTCTGCAAGAGAAAACAGGCTTAAACTGGCCATACTCGATGGAGGGTACCAGTTAGGTCAGGAATGGACCTTTTACATTTACAGACACCATGGTTGAAATAGCCAGTTCTGACAAATGGAAAGCATCCCGAAAACTTTACAAAGTTAGAGTATAGAAAAAGGTTTTCTTCGTCCAAGTCAGACATAATATACTCGCACTCTTGATGTGCTGACAAGGAGGTCTCCATCAAAGAACTTTGTTTCAATCACCACGTTGCCACTGAAAGAGACCAAATACCCATACTCTATAAGCATCATTTCATCTTCAGAGAAGGATTGGTTAGAACAAATGTAACACCAGGGTTTAACCCTTTACACCCTAACATCAGTATGTATATTCTTCATACTATGCTCTCTACATTTCCTAACATGCTAACAAGGAGAACTTGTTAAACAATCAAGAGCTTCACACATAAGCCTTGACCTCTTGTTGCAGCGTTTAGATCATCCCTGATGAAGGCACTAGATGGGAGTGTAGAAACGTTGGGTCTATGAATTGTAACTTCTTCAGTTACATTCATTAAATCTGTAAACCAGAGTAGCATCAAACTATGTCTGATTGTCCACCTGGTTGCCATGTGAACTTTAATATAATCAAGAGCTTCTTTAATAATGATCATTTCCTTTGTTCTCATAACTTTAAGGTTTGATTCAGCGGTAATATTGTTAGGAGGAATTTGATGCTTGTCAAGGGCTCAAAAGTTTGATAAGAATTCATTTTAGGACAGATATGGGAAACCCCAAGGATCTGGTTGACATTAAAAATCCCTGGTTGGATTCCTTGACTAAAATGTTGAAGTTTTTGATATCACAGCAAAGAAGTAAGACTTACCTCAGAACCTGTGCAGGCATCATCTGTGATTCAGGAGCAGCTTCTATGAGTGACTGCCATGTGTTTGTTGATGCTGGGATCACAAATCCAAAATCAAAATACCATTCTGTAAAGACAGATCACAAAATGTAGTTGGCACCAAAAAGAGGTAAAATGAGAAAAAGTTTGTGGTTCATTAAGGAAATTCCTACCAATACTAAGGCAGCAATACCAGTGCAACGCTCTACCAACTGAGCTAACAAGCCAACTTGGAGGTGGTTAGCTCAGTTGGTGGAGCACTGCACCAGTATCGCAGAGGTCATGGGTTCAAATCCCATACAGGCCTGAAATTTTTTCAGGTCTCATTTCAACTACTAGTTCGGTAGCGTTCATAGCAGCAAGGATCGTTCATATCTCATTTCTTCACCACAGTGCACATATATGATTTTCATACATTTCCAGTCATGATAAACTACGTTACACACACTAGAATAATGCTTGCTTACCTTCTAAACACTTCCCTTTGAACATGACTTTTTGTTCAAGTCTGAATTTTGTCATTTCTTGTTCAGAAGAAAAGTTTAACTCTCTGGAGACCGCCTTGCATTTTAAAATTTTTTTTGGTACTCTTGCTGATAATCAAACAAAGAAAAAAAACTATAAGGTACCACCACTGGTAATTTCAAAGCAGAAAGTCATCATTTATTTAATTGCGCCTCCCATGCTGCAAAAGGCAGTTGCAATTTTATAAACTGAGTTATTGTTAGTCTTAATTTTTAATATTTAACTAAGACATTGTTAAAAAGAAACCACCACATACAGGAAGACCAAAAATAACAAGATACAAAAATGCTCCAGGCAACACTTAAAAAGGCACTTAGGCTGGGATGGTATTATCTGAAAATAAAATTCAGTAAGGTAATAATGTTTACAACTTCTCTTAATCTCTAAACCAGGGTTGTCATTAGAACCCTGTACTCTGCAGAAACCTGCTAGCTGAATTGTAATGTAAGTCAGAATGCCAATGTCTGGCTAAAAAAAGTTCTCCAAATACAGCATGCTGCAAATCACCTATCAGAGTTTCAAATTTCAAATTTTTCTGGGGGAGCATACCTGGACCCCCCTGTAAGGGTGTTTTGCTCTGTAACATGCCATACTTGCTACACAAGCAGAATTCCATTCAGCTGCCTACTCAGTTTAGATCATACATCTATTAACTTTTCTAATCACAACCCTGTTGAGAGTAGTAAAAAGGCATCTTACCCTCATGCTCAGGTCCTGGAGCTGACCTGCAGAAACATATTACAAAAATGACCATCAAAACAGTAACGAGTCAACCAAAAGAACAGGAAAATTTTATGACTGCAGACCTTAGAATCTTTAAGTTTAGCCTTTGACTTTAAATACTTTATATCTTAATAAAAATATGATGTGAGACACTAAGGATTCCATCACAATGACCCAAAGACCTTGATTTAAATATTCCTTTAGTATAGTGTAAATAATAAGCTGAATAATACACCTATATTGACTGGTTGTAACTTGTTGTTTTTTTTTTTTTGAGGACAGAAGCATACTAAATGACTTCACCATTTACATTTTCTTCTTATTCAATGTACAAAACAAAGAGATTCCATGTTGATATGGGTCTTTCCAGAATACAGTGACACTTTTGGGAGCATCTCGCATGCCACTTTTTTGTTCTTGCCACATTTTGACACCTTCCGCGATCTATTACTGAACAGACACAGGACAAGAAGGAATCTATTTCTTTAACTGACACAAGATTCCCAGTGATACTGGGGTAGAGACTGTAGATGTCTCTCTGACCCAATCCTTGCCTCTTCTTGATTTTTACACAAAGAATACCGCTAATTCTCAGGGACCAATGGAAAAAGAAAGAAGCCCTAAGGCATTCTGTGCTCTTCTCTGAAACTTGCATTTTGAAAAGGTCTCTAAACCATGACAACAAGAGATTGGATTTACATGCAAACTAAGTTACTTAATAAGAGAATGAGGAAGTAAATAAATAGGATAGTATTTCACTTACAGGTCATCACTCCCCTGCCATAATACTTTACCAGAGTCAGCATCTCGCAGATTCATCCAGTTTCTAGATCATAATAATTAAGGGAAACAAAACAACAGTCCAGTTGCTCTGACAAAGGGCTAATGCTTGAAACATCAGCCTTTAAACTCTTTAAGCACCTCAGTTTCTATAGAAACTTACCCCCTTTATTTGACAGCTACTGTACTTTGATTCTTATATAAATTTTGAGCACAATATATGAAAGCCCTTCAATAGAAAAACTTCCTCGAAGCTTTCCCAAGTTACCAAGTAATAACTATTCACCTCAGTGGCTAGTGGTGGAAATTTACCATGCAGTGAAGCAGTGTGGTAAATATCCACCCCTTGCCACTGAGATGAACAGTTGTTTTAGTACATACTAAAACAGTGAGATAATTTAGGGGGGGAAAAAATTATTTTTGACTCATTCATTCCTGCATTGATTACAATATTTTCAGATGAAAATCCTCAGGGTTGAATAGGAAAGGATATTCAGAGTTTGAATGGCCATTAAGTACGCCTTCAAGGTTATCTACTTTTAGAGTAGGAAGTAAATACCACTAAACTATTTCACACATCTTCTCAAACTTCAAATTGCATCAAAATTCCTTTTCAAGGCTTATGTGACAAACTTTCAGTCTAGAATTCTTTCACATCATTTGCGCTTGTCCCTTCTCAAAGTTACAGTCAATGCTTGCCACAAATTTTGCAATTCATTTTTCCTTACAAAAAAATTGATGAAAGGTTTGAAGGAAACCTTGCTACTTTTGCAAACCTTATAAAATAACTTAAAACTTTGCAGTTAGACAAAATAAGTGTATTTTAAAGATTTTGGTAAATAAGTAATTAACTGAACTGACAACTGCCAATAAAAAATTTGATATGTTATTAGTCCACTGACATTAATCTCTCTGGGAAAGGATAACAATTACGTATTTCATTTAAAACATAGCACGTAATTGACACGGGTTTAATTTCTCTCTCTTTTACATCAAATCAAAATTCTGAGTCATGCTGTTTGGAAGTTGATAGATGTGTTTTGATCAGCAGTTTTCTTTCTTTGGAATTAGACACAACAATTAAAGGCAGCTGGCTGAACTTATTTGACATATGTCAAGAAATTTTTCGCTTATCTCTCAGTCTATGAGGCAAAATAATGCAACTACAAAATGGATACTCCGCCATATTTGACAAAATTCATCGATCCGAAGTGCGAGCAATTACTCATTCGTTTCACGCCGAAATGATTAAAACATTATCCAGGCGATACAGTATTACAATTACCTGACGCAGACGTAGCTGCTAAATTGCATACATATTTCTGAAGTCCAATTTAAAAGCGATCTTTTCGTAAACCTTAAGCTTTGCTTGGAAATCGAGATTTTACGAAGTCGCACGCTGTACTTGGTAAGGTCTACTGATGGAAACTTGATCCTTTCCAAAAGCGCGTCTACGGTTAAAAATTAGTATTAGTTTCAGTAACAACTATTATTTGTTGCATAATATATACATGTAGTTAGATAACGCTTTAATATCGACAGATAAACACAGATACTTAAAAGTTTGCGTTTAAGAACCAAACATTCGTACTAGCCACAAAATTAATAGAAACAGATTCATTACCGACTCGCTGATCCAAGAAATTTCATGCTCAGAAATTAGGACGGTTAAAACGACCAATCCTGATGGGAGACTGACTAGAAACTGACAAACTAAGTAACTCCGTGAGAATGGAGTGAAATTTAAGGAAAAATTATAGTGTACTTAACGCATGAAGGATACAACTTAAATCCTTTCAGAATTAGTTCTTTTCTGTCATCTCCTGCACTCATACTGGCAAAATTCGCTATCCACTGTCAACCAATGACCCAAAACTGAGGACTTTCGTAGGATCAATCTCTGAAATTCACGTTAGAGAGATAAAACAGCTCAAAAGTCCAAACTAAGATTCGTGCATACACAAAATAGCCAGAGCACTAAGCAGGACAGGAAAGCTAAAGCGAAGCGTTTCCATGAGAACTCTGGGTAATTACGTCACGGGGGCGTGACACATTCACTTGGGATACCTTAGGCTTTTCAGCTTCCGTGAAATATGACCAATCCTGTTTTTATCTTGCTTCCTCATTCGCTCTGTCACGACCACTACCAAGAAAATTGTATCTTAAGCTTAGTAGCTTAAAATGATTGTAGGATGGTGTGGTAGAGTTGCTGGCAATAAGGTTGACGCCTTTAATTGAGTTTCTTCTCGAGAAGAATTCACTCTTTAAATGTCGAAGTTGTTCGTTACCGAAGGATCAAATTTTTGTTAGCAACGCATAAGTGACATAGGATGTCGCCCTCTTTCACAATGAAGTGAACCTTTTCGTTTCTATGAAAAACGTATGCGCAGCAAACGCTTAATCAATATATTAGAACTGATTTTGCATTCAAAGAACCATCGAAGTGGGGCGAAAGTATTTCACAATACATTAGCACCTGTTGAATTCATACAAAACTGTGCATTAGCACGAAACTGGTAGTTAACAGTAAAACAAAGATTACGGCTTGAAAGAGAAATTTAAATTTCTGATCAGCCGTTTCATTTGACAGTGAACTCGGAGAAATGGCAAAACTTATCTGAAAATTTCAAAGAAAACGTTGGAAAAGAAATGTGTTTTATTTTCTTTGTAAAACTTTTTTCCTTTCAATATTGACAAGATTTGGCGCCTTTTCTAACGATGATCGCAAAATATTTAAAAGTAGCAACCTACAACAGGCGCCTGTAGAGAAGGGCAAAAAAAAAAGTGATCATTGATTGACCAGTTTTCTGAAGGAAATAGTTTGCATCGATTTTTTTCAATGATTCTTTCTGGAGGTCGATTTTACAAAAAGTGATTTGAAAATATGATTTTTATTAGCTGGGTTCTTACCCGGATCAGTGTAATTTTCCTAAAATAAGCAATTGCGCTTCTCTAACCGAAGAAACATGGAATGTTGTACAAGTTAACCACGTGTGCATAAAGAATAAATTGTTAAACAAGACTTTTCCATCTCGCCCTTGCACGTGCTATATTGTGGAAGTGTGGCAAAGGCCTGTTCGTAAAGAGACACGTGTTGGGAATGGATAAATGTTTCAAAGGAAAAGCGCAAATTGCTGTTTATTCTAATCATTGGTAACTGCACAATATCGTTTGCGCAGTTGTCGGGCTCAATTGACAGTCTAAGGCGCGAAAATTTAACCTGTGGCAGGGCCTTTGGAATACTTGATCGATGATACGCTTCGACGAATAAATTCAGCAAGTGCATATTGAGTGTCTGTGGACAGGTAGCTGGCGTGACCGGTGTTTCGCGCGCAATTTGCATTTCAATTCATTCACAGCTATGTTAATTATTCGAAACTGTCAGGGTCGAGAAAAACAAAGAGCGACCCACAAAAACACGAGGCCAGTTGAAACAGATGTAGTGAAACCCAAGGCGGGTTGATGGCAAAGAGTGCTTGAAGGGTTGGTAAGACTCTAAACCACAACCGCCCTAGTCAAGATCAAAATAATTACTTTCAGAAAAGGGATATTTACCGATGAATCGAGTGTGAGGCGCGCTCCAAGACTACTAATGCCGGTGAGAAACATTCGTACTTCATCGAATATGCGGGCGCCAAACTCGACGTCTTTCTTGTCCAAGGCCTACAACTTTTTGAAAGGCAAAACTTCGAAGAACGACGAGAACTTTTACGCCAAGGCCAAGACGCCTTTTCCGAACGAGATTTACCCAAGTCTCTGTGAGCCGATCGACGCTAAAGGAATGGCAGAGAGTTCTTGGAAAAACAGAAGAGTTTTGGGAGAAATTACCAATCGCACTAAGAGCATGTTCAATGACCGGGAGCTAATGAAGCAAAAGGCGCGAATTAAACCGTTCAGTACTCGAGCTGCAGAGAAGAATTGCTTAGAGGAAAAGAAGATAAATAACCAAACACAAGGAAGGCCAAACAACAAGGCTTTCTCGTTGGAAGGCGAAGAAGACGAAGAGGAAGGCGTTTTTGCGATACAGGTACGTTACCCCTGTGATTCACTCTTTCGGTTTTCAGTCGTGTGTTGTAGAATGCGGAAATTTTCGAGAATTTTTTCCTTATTCGAGACTCAAAATAATTTAATACAATCAAAGCTTAACAAGTGCTTCAAGCTGTTTTGATACAACAATTTCTTTGATAAAGAGTCGGATTTCCGTCGTTTTGAGGGATCAGTTCAAAACAAATTTTATTTGATCGCTTATATTTTCAAAGCAAATAAAAAGTTCTGGTAAATAAATCAAAATTTGTTGATGAAGTCACAACTGTTTATTGGATGAAGTGGGATGATTCAGGGAAGAAAACTCTTATTCGCCACACCCAAAGATAAAATATCGGGAAATTTTTCAAAGAGAATTGTGCCGCCGTATTTGTCTATAACCAGGAGAAATTATCTTTGTTTCCGGGCCGTCAGAAACTTCCGCCGAAAGCGATCTTTTACGAAATTCAGATATTGACATCAAAAAGTAAAAGCGTTTCGAAGTTCTTAAATTGGCAAAGCGAGTTCGATCTTTTTTATCTTAAGTTTTACCAGAGTCATTGAAGTAAAAGGCTTTGATGAATCCAGCTGACTAACAGCATTAAATTTTTAAACAAAATACGGGGAGTGGAAACAGCACCTCAACAAAGAGTAATAAACATGGCACACAATTCATTCCAGATCTTATTTACTTTGGTAGAAATCTTTTGAAAAAAAGTCATCAGTAATATTCTACAGCATAGAGCTTCACGGCGGTATTACCAATGATGGATCAGTGTTCATGTCATCTTTTCAAACTGAGATAACATAGAGGTTCCAAGTTTATGGAAAAAAAACCGTTTAGCTCTTTCATTGTTTTCTCGACTAAGGTAATAAAAAAATCTCAATTCCCAGTAGGGTAGAGTTTATTTCGATCGCAGGTATAGCAAATGGGCAAATCGAGCTCAGTGCAGTGCTCGAACAGTGCAAATCATGGATGGAAAAAAAAGTAAACTTTTCGAAAATAAATTTTCCTTTTTCGTTACTTTGGGGTGTACCGAACAACACAAGTTACGTTTTTTGTAACTCATAACTTAATGATAAGTTTTGTGAATCTTAAATATTTTGTTTGCCTTCTTTACTTTTCACACATCTAGGGCTAGAGTTTTCCCTTTATATGCGAAGCTAGTCTTGTTTCAGTGGAAAAAAATCGGCAAGAAATCTGACTACAAATAAAATTTTTCTGTGTGGCTGTTTAGTCTTTTATGCCACGCGACCTGATGTCCATTGTTCGCGTGTCGTGCTCGATATGTTGTTAAATCGATTAATTTTCTTTGTACTTTCTAAATGCTTATTATAAAACATCTGTCCCTTGAAGCCCCTGCGGCTTCAAATGACTTGTCAGTTGCCAAATGTAAGCAGCAATTGAGGCATTGTTGGACTTGATACGTAACAAGTTAAGATAACAAAGAACGCAACCAACGGAGAGAGTTAGCTTTGATTTGAATCTCTTTGATTTCAAGACCGATTCAAGAAGTAGCATCATCAAGTTAGATATTTTTAATCTACTAGAGCACTTAAACATGAATAGGAAATGAAATGATGAAGTATATACACAGACATCATTCTTAATCACTATAATACACATCAAATTTCTGCACATGTCAAGCTTCCTTCTTCATATTCCAACTTCTCAACATTTGCACCATCATTATCACCAGAAGGGGAACTCTAGAGATCAGTTTGTTGTTTTCTTGAATTCCAAAATAGAAGCATGGACATTTGTTTCGGAGTAGTACTTAATTGTTCGTATCGTCCTCTTCTACACAGCACCTGTTTATCCTTCGAGCACGTGTCGGATATTGGCATTATTATGATAATTTATCTATGTAAATTCATTAACTATAAAGTGCATCCAAGCGTGAAGTAATGTAACGGCTCGGCGGGAAAATTGATACTAAAACGGTGATTTCAATTTACGGCGGAGATTTTCTTTGATAAAGAAAATTCAAGGTAATTGCATTAAAATTAATCAGATCGTATACAAATTCGACTTGCCGCCTTAATACAAATGAACGACTAAAAATAGAACAAAAAATTGATGGTTTACACAGCTGCAGCGCACTGTTTTCTTTGATACAGAAGATTTATATATTTCTCAAACTGGAAAATCTAAGTGCTTTGCGATATGTTGATATGATAGGAAAATTTTTAAAATAGATGTGAATTGTTTAGAAATATTCAGACGTCAGACATTGAATTTCAAATTAAACTAACTACGGTGGATTAAAAGTACATACAATAGTAACACACGAGGAACATTGAAACAAATGTGCAGTAGAACCTTCATAACGCGAATGCGAGGTATCTCCTTCGAAAATCATTAGTGAATTCTTTACTTCCAGCTTACTCAGTTTCCCTTCCCCCACCTCCCCGCTATCCTGAAAAACTCCATTTCCCTCGGAAGTTTGAGCGGGCTTCTAAAAACAAAAGTTTATGGTAGTTTTTTTCTTTCGTCATGCGCAGTTGATCAAGCCCCAGAATGGTTTTCTTGGTATCGTTTTGGTGGGCGGAGCTGACACACCGCTGGAAAATCATTACGTCAATGATATCTTGCCCAATTCCTCCGCGTCCAAATCGGGCCGCGTCAGAACAGGAGACGAACTCCTGGAGGCAAATGGCCAGGCCCTTCGCGGGAAAACGCATGCACAGGCGCTAACCATCTTCAGGTCTCTCCCAGCTGTGGTGACGCTGGTTGTGGCAAGGAGTAAGAACGCGAATCGCTCTATCATGGAACGCTTTAACCAAGAGAAAAAAGACAACAAGAAAGTAAACAACAATATCGTGTCACCAAAGAAAAGGCGAAGCATTGTAGAGGAAGCATTCAACTCGAGTGTCATTGCCAGGCCCCTCTCATCCGTAATTGACGTCACAAAAAAGAAGTGTCCGTACTCTAAACCTGTCAAGCGAGTTTCTCGCATCTCGTCTTTCTTGGGGACAGCAGAAGGTGAAAATGACAGAGGTGAAACACAAAGAAGAAACCATGAGGTGAAAAATGAAAATGGAAACAAGAAAAGTCGGGAAGAACCAGGGGTAGGTTTTTCTAGTTCGTTAGGCTGGGCTTAGCTCCATTTTAGAGGGTAATTTAGTGTTAACAACAGGGTTGAAAACGTAAATTAGCCACCGTAAAGGGTAAAAAAGCTGACGTTTCGAGCGTTAGCCCTTCGTCAGAGCAATCGCTGTGTTTTATTCGTATGACTTTCATCTTAGTTTATCTATTCTCTGTTTCGCTTTCATTTTGAAGTCTATTATTTTGTCTGTTCCAGTAGTTACCCCTCTGACGAAGGGCTAACGCTCGAAACGTCAGCTTTTTTACCCTTTACGGTAGCTAATTTACGTTTTCAACCCAGTTGTTAACACAAAATTACCTGCTATACTCTCCCACCGACGCAGCACCACAGTTTCTTTAGAAACTTACCCCTTTATCCATTTTAGAGGCTCAACTTTAAATATACTACGGAGGTAAACCTTCAATAGTTTGAATAGAACAGTTTTCACATAATTCAGCCCAGTTTCAAAAGCCTCGACACAGTTTGCATCGCATTTAAGCAGTTTACTTGCTCAGTATTGTGCAGCTCTTCTGAAAGGCTGATGCAAGCCGAGGCTGAAAGAAACGGTTGGGATTGCTTTTGCATTGTTACGGCTTAGAAGAGTGAAGTAGTCTTTGTTGGTTGATCTTTCTGACATAATCTGCTGCTCTCATCCTCAGATATACCCCCTGTCAAAGGACTGGGAAAGAGGTCGATCAGTTGATAAACCGTCGAAAATTTACGAGAATGAACATACGTCATTCTTCCTCACCAAAACCTTCAGACGTTCAAGCACTAGCAGAAGGAGCGTCATCAAACGATGTGATGTAAGAGCAACGTGGCCTGCTTTCACTATAAAGCAGCGACTACCTCTCCCCTGGGATTCGTTCGCATCTCCGAGACCAGCAAAAGTCAGCCGAAGCTCCTCGGCTCGTGTTCGGCGTAATATGGCGCCCACTTCGGGATCCAGCTGGTCGTTGAATCAAAACTCGAGCTCTTCGGCTCGGAAGTTTACAGGAAAGCATTACATCGAAAAGAAAACTATCGTTGTCGAGGTAAAGCGGGAAAGTACAGTCACAGAGTGGGGATTTTCTGTCGGAGGGGGTGTATGTTCCCCGTACGGGGATCTGCCAATTTTCATTGCAGAAGTCTCACCCACGGGGAATGCCCAAGGATTTTTACAGAGTGGAGATGAAATTGTTGATTTTAGCGGAGAGAGTTTAGAGGGGGCAACGTTTTTAGAGGCAGAGAAGATGCTGCGAGGATATACAAGAAAGAATGCAACAATAACAATCAAACGAAAGTTTCTTCAACGGGGTCAAAACCCGCACACCAATCCTTATGCCGAGGTGTGGAGTTCTGTTAACACGAGAAAAACCACCGCGGGACACAGGCAGGGAAGGAGACCGAAATCAATGCACTGTTAAAACTCTGAAAAAAAAAACTGTGAACTATGAACTAACAAGAAAAGGCGTAAAAACTCGAACGCACGCAGCCAATGGAAAGCGCTGAAAAATGCGCTGACCAATCGAAACATTTTCTGAGGTTTTCCTTGAACGAGCTTGGTGCATTCTGGACTAATCCTTTCTGATTGGTTCGCGCTGGCGTTGTAGTTTTTTTATTGTTGTTGTTGGTAAGCCAAGCATCACCTTCAAAACAAACTAATTTCTTATTGAAAGCGCTTCATACACTTAGTTGACCACAGGAAAACTTGACCATAATCTCGATCATCGATAGTACAGATTTCAATTGAGTGTCGAAAAGCCAAAACCAAAGTAATCAAAAAAGCCAATCAGAACAAAGTTAACGTCATCATTTACAAATGAAAACTCAAAGTAAAAACAGGGAACCTGCTCGAAGCGCAGGAAAACGCGAGTGACCAAGTTAGGATTCAGTTTATACCTGCATTTGATTGGTTGGCTCGAGCTTTTTAGACCAATCACAGAGCTAAAAGCAGCTTAACCAAAGCAATTCTGAATCGCTTTCGGCAATGGATTGAAAACTGCTCTACGAGTTTCTTTGATGAAATTAGAAGCCTTTTGTCAGCCTTCTAGTAGCAAGACAAAACGATTATTTTTTTCAAATTACTTGGAATTTTAACTTCAAAGCTGAAACGTCCAAACTCAGACGTTCTATAAACTGGTGGAAAAGAATGTTCACCCAATTTTAGGATAATATTGCTTTTGCCTTGATGTGTATATTTTAAATCCTCATCACCATTGTAAGATTTTTTAGCGGTTTGATATAGGGAGTAAAAACAATGTTTTAGGATCTATTTTCCAAAAAAAAAAAACAAGCACAGGAACAAGTGAGCAAACAATACCTTTTGACAATTAGTCAAACAGCAAAAAATGGGGAAAAACCAGTGTAAAAGTATTTTTATCATGTATAGTAAAACATTCCAAAATAGTAGTAAAGGCTTCTCACAGGAGTAGTTACATTACCAATACCAATGGATTGTTCTATTCATTTTTGACACTACAACAGCAAGTTGTTGTATATATTTGTTGAAGACTTTGATATTTGACTTAGTTTAAGATCATGTAGAAAAAATTCAAAACTTTTTAGCTCAAAACTTACTTTGTTACAAAAACTTTTAAATTATAATTTATTAATCCACAAATTATAGAGAAAGTGTAGAATTCAGTGGGTTTTGTTCTCAAATAAATTGTTCAACAAACCTATCTGGTGTTGCACACATTAGGAGTTTTTTTCAGCCATTCTCACTGTTTAACTCCCAAGATCTGATTGTTAATTCTCCCATCTAGCTACAATACATTTCCTTAAAAATTTGTTACAAGAATTTAGTGTTGGATCAAGATAACAGCTTCTATCTGATAAGTTTTGAATATTCTCATGACCTGTTGGCTAGTTAATGTAAGGACACTATAGGGGGAAGTTACTCGTTAATCCCCTCTGAGATTTAAAGGGAACAACCCCACCACGTTCCTTGAATTGTACAATGTTAGTATTCTGTGGTTCTCTCAGTATGAACAAACTTTATGCAAGAAGAGATTGGGATAAAACCAGGACAAGAGAGGAAACCAAGCCCCTTCTTTTTCAATTTGTGGTTACCTTCCCTCCAAGCCTAGAAGATCAAAAGAGAGAAATATGGATACCACTGATAAAACTTTTTAGCATTCTGTAATGAACAGGCCCCTATTTTTTAGCATGCACCCCTGTTCTGATAAACACAAACATATTTTTCATTCGTAAGTAAAGTGCAATCTCCTGTTACTTTATACTATTCTGCTGCAACTACATTTCTTTAATGAAGACCCTGTATTCAACATTGTCCATTGAGCTTCCATAAAACTGCTTTTTTAAAGGATCTTGTACATCAACCTTTCACTTCTTTTCAGCCATACTTTTTAATTAAAAACTCACAGCAATGTGCCTGATAATTACCTTTAACAATGTGTCTATTCAAATTACCCAAAATACAGTGACACAAATATTAATGTTGACCTCAAGACCTTTCATATACACAATGTAACTGTCACATAAAACTGCCCATACAGTTGCTGGCCCATATCCTTATGAAGGTCTCTGAGGAAATAGCAGCAGGTTGTCATCTGAACTTGAGATCCTTGTCATCATTCTTGTTATAAGTTGTTTCATTTATAAGTGTCTCCCACTCCTTATCTTCTCCAGTAGCTTCAGGAGACTCCAGCCCAAGCATAACACGAAGCTTTGTCTGCCAAAATAAAAACATTTTCTCTGAGGTTAGCAAATTTAACACACATTTTAAAGGAAGCAAAAGGTTCACACTTTCATCTGTTACAACTAAGGTATATCCTTCAGAATCTTCACCCTTAAACTCCCAGGGGTGATTAACATGTAACATTTCCCTCTAATATTCATACATTATCCAGCAAACAGGTAATGAGAATGCTCAAACTCAGGTAGGAGCTCTTTTTGTTATCAAACACAAAATTCTCACAACCAATTTTTGACAAAATGTGTAGCAGTTAAAGGGGAGAATTATCCATTAGATCTTGGGAGTTAAATGGTTAACCCCTTTTAACTTATAAGCCACTGTGTTCACATCATGTGCCGATCAATTTAAAGATACATCATCACCCCCTTCCCCTCCACTAGGCAACATAAGGGCATTTGCCTGTCATCCATAATGGAATTTCCTACAAAATAATTTCCAAAAAATGTTCTAAAAATTTTTTCAGCTGTGTTCCACTTCTTGTCAGATTTGTTGTCATTATCATTCTGCAGCTCAGTAAACAATTGTTGTTTTTGTCCTGTAAGTTGTCTTAAAAATCTTACTTTGATAATTAGATCCAGATTAACTGACTTGAAAAGCAGTGTTTCCTCCTTTGATAGGCAAGTGAAAACTGTTTGTTTCATGACGATACATGTCACTTTTTATCCAGTTACATGGTTGTGTTTTACATTTATTACAAAAAAATTAATCGTCAAATCCGGCATTTGTTTGGGGCATGCAAACACATTTTTTCCTGGGGAACGCGAGTTTGAATATTAAATTTTCAGAGTTCAAATGCCTGGTGGTTGGGATGTAGAAACCTCGAATTGATCAACGCACTATTACGCTCGAATTACAAATTTGCATCACATTCAAAGTTTCGAATGAATAAGGTATTATTTAAAAGAACCTTTAAATGAGTATCAACACCGCAAGTTCGACAATTTCCCCTGAATTAAAAATCCAGAATATCACCTTTCCCGTCACTACATTTAATTTAACTCAACGTTGTTCGAACCTGAAATCAACTTACCCTATTCTTTCGTCCTCTTTCGCCATACATTTGATACGCTACAAATGAATAAAAGCAGGTTCCGCAAAAACACCACAAGGCCAAGGCAGGCAGCTGTTTCCTGTACGGTCGTAAGTCGATCATCATAGCGCGCGCTTCTGTGTTCAACCGTCCGCCATTACTGGAGGCTCGAAGCTCTATACTTCATGTGAGAACATTCCTCAACCCAGGGCCTCAGTCGGGCCTCTCTCTTTTCTCCGGTTCTCCTATGATCCCACCCCACGTTCCAAGGGGACAACAAGACAATTTTTTTTCATGGTTTCATCGAGGAGAGGAGTAGCTTATGAGTAGGCCCTCATTATACACATTGTTGGACGTGGATTTCTGCACTCACGGGAAGATTTTAGACTAGTCGAGGAGAAATTTGCAGGGGGTCTAGTACTAGTAGCCATAGCCCCCCTCCAGCCCCTCGCAGGATCGCGTTGCTCAAAGCCTCATACCTTCCGCGGGCGAAGAAACTCGCGCCGAAGCGCTATTAATGAGCACGTGCTCATAGGCTACGCGGTGATTTATTTCAGGACCAGAATGAGATGCTACTCTTTCTGCTTCATCTTTCAAACATTTCCTAAAATAATGCCAAAAGAGATTAAAAATAGTTATAACTGAAATTTAAAATTTGCCGACATAAAAAGGAAAGAGATACGGAGAAGCATGCCCCAATTCCAGATCGTGAAATTTGGGCATTGAACTGGCTTCTGCAGTTTAATTAGGGAAGGTTACATCCTATTTCTAGGAGCTCCATCTGATATCGGTTTGATCCTTCATATCTGGGTCGGTGCAGTCAGAACTAAGGCTTCAGTATCCATTTTTATTATCCAACTGCACAAAGTAGACTACAAATAACGCGCGAATAGAATACAAATGTCTTGCGATATTGCACGGTTATTTCGACAGTTGGTTATTTTGTACTGTAAAAAAAAACTGTTCAATCAGTCGGCTGCGCGCGCTACGCTTCTCTATCCGCTTTGCTTTTCCCGCCTTATGAGAAATGAGCTGAATAACTAAGCAGAAAAAAAAGCAGTTCAATAATAAATAACTTATAAGACGTTTAGGTTTGTAGTATCGCTGAGTATTTTTACTCGTAGTTTGTATTTGACTCGCCCTACGGGCTCGTCAAAATACGGTACAATTCGTAAAAATACTCAGCGATACTACACACCAAAATGTCTTATAAGATATATATATATATATCCTCTTCATGATCAAAAATTCCACATCATTCATTTGAGTTTGTGTTGATTTTAATTCAATCAAGTTTAAAAGTGAATATGTTACAATTCCCCGCTTCTTATCTTGATTCACCAATCTCCAAGATACGTAAAAAGGTCTCCACGAAAGAACTTGAATTTCTGTGTACCTCTGTAGACCTTACAAGTCAAAATAGATGGCTGTGTTGTCATTTCTTTCATATTTGGCTTCGCGTCCGAAATGTCGTGTCCCTTGTACCACAAGTGTGGCAAAAGTTTCGGTATTCTAATCCTCAAGCACCTCATCTAGTAGGATGTGCCATGAAACATACTCCTTGACTCCGTTTTTGCGACCACCATGAAACACCAAAAATATGGACAGCTTAAATAATATATGATTCATTTCAAATTGTCACAGTCAACTCAAATGAATCTGGTGAGCTGGAAAAGAGCAACAAAAACAGCTGTCACATTTCTTTCCGACAACTCCTCACAAAGTTAGACAAAAGCTGATAAAGGCACCTCACAATTACTCCACATTTTTGGTCAATTACGGAGCAACCAAACGCAACTGAACAAATCATATATTAAACTTCACATGGCAACCAGGCGGACAATCAGACGTAGTTTGATGCTACTCTGGCTTAAAGATTTAATGAAGGTTACCGGGAAGTTACAATTCATAGACCCAATGTTTCGACACTCCTGCCTAGTGCCTTCATCAGGGGTGATCTAAATGCTGCAACAAGAGGTCGTTTTAAACGCTCACTAATTAACAGCCTTTTTTTCTGAAAAGGTGTAAATAGGCGCCAGGAAGTAAGCCGCCATCATCACGATTTAAAGGAGCGTGGGCGAAGTTAATGTGCCAGGCTTCCAAACAAAGGCGCTGGTGGTAACGCCGATTAGTGGTGATAGATTTAGACTTATCCCACCCAATTGTATGGTTGGTTAGGCATGTGTGCTCCGATAAAGCTGAATTTTCTTTTTTGCAAAAGAAAACCGCTTTTTGATGCTCTTTCAAACTTGTACCAAACTGACGTTGCTTGCTCCTCGCAAAATACCAACTGCTGAAATTGTCGCCGCTGCCGAGGAAAGCATTTCTCAACTCAACAACGACAATAGGCACTTGGTAAGGGCAGAAGTAAGTAGCATACTCAGGCGTACTAAGCCTCCTCCCAAAAACATTCAGTTTGGTACACGTTTGAAAGAGCATCAAAAAGCGGTTTTCTTTTGCAAAAAAGAAAATTCAGCTTTATCGGAGCACACATTTAAATCTTTAAGATAGAGTAGCATCAAACTATGTCTGAACAAATTATGTTGAAGTGGAAGGATTATCCAGGGCGTGACCAGTCTAAGTGTAGCCGTACCCCCCCCCCCCCCACCCTCCCAAAGGAGAAACGAAAAGGAGGGAACGTTAGCCTACGTGTAACCGTACCCTCCCCCCCCATAGGCTAGGGAGTACCTTGGATTTATAAGGGGGGGCACAGTTACGTATTTCCGCACGCCTCAGGTGAGGTGGCTTAAACTAATGCTTTTCTGTGAGTATCAGCGTTCAGCAATGAATAATACAAATGCTATGCAAGAATGTTCGCGTTACCGGGATTATCCCGAGATCTGATGATAGAGCCGACAAAAATCCTTGCCTCTCCCCTCTGGATGTGCACTCTTGGGCGAAAAGAGGCAATAGGACTGTGAAGTAAATTTCCCAACCACACAATACCCGTTTTCTCGTACCCAGACCTTTTAAGGTCAAGCGGTTGTGCATATATTTCAGTTCAGTTACATGGTAGGATCTGGGTAGGAGATTATTCTACCCGTTGTGGACTGCATTGACCGGAACAGAGAATTTCGGACGTCCCCTACGCCGGGCTTCTGTTTCATTGGTAAAAGATAACAACCAAAAAACACACCACAGCGCGTATCTCTCAGAAAAGAACCCGACACAAACTGAAACAAAATGAAGTACAGTGAGAAGTTGCTCACATTGTTTTGGTATCCGAACAGGCTCTTCATCTCCGTATGTAACCTCGTGTACTGCGTCTCTGAAGAGATATCTTATTTTCAACAACTTTTCTTCCTCGGGGCAAGGATCGTAAAATCCGCTGAGATTACACTGTAAGAAAAGAAAAAGAAGGAAAATAAGGAAACAAGAGAGCAAAGTATTCTATTAGGTGCCGAGAAACCGAACTTTGAAATTCACTTTCTTCTCTGTTAAATTCAGAGCAACTGGAGCTGCTAAGTCTAATTTGGTGTTGTCACGCAGAGTTCTCTCTCCGTTGCGCGACAAGACCAAACAAAAGCTGCACAGAAGACCATGAGGATGATTTCTTCAAGGAATTGGTAAATACGGAGATCTTGTGGTGGCCTTAACATTTTACCTCCCACAATAATATCCCCTACTCTCTCCTTTAGCTGTTACACATTTTCCCTCAGAGTTAGCTGAGAGAATTTGCTGAGATATCAAGATAACAAGCCCCTACCAAATACACTTGTGTAGTCTCACCAACCACATTAACCCTTAAATCCCTGAGAGTGACCAGCATCTAATTTCTCCTTTCAATATCACCCATGGAACAAACAGTAAGGTCATGAGAATAAAGGAAATGATCATCAACTGAAGAACCTCTTGATTGTTTAAAAAATTCTCCTTGCCGGCACATTAGGAAATGTATAGAGAACAGTATGGAGAATATGCATACTGATGTTAGGGTGTAAAGGGTTAATGTTACTCGTTTTTGCGGAACTTAATTTCACGAAAATGGAATGGGCATATTTCGCAAGACTTTAATTTCGCAATATGGATAAAAGATATATTAAAAGGAGCTATTTTTTCGCGAAAATTTTTAAAATAGTGATCTGGATTACCAAACAGTTTACCTCACCATGAGAGGATAACTAAATCCTCTCTTGGTGTCAGAACTGGTATAAACAATCTTAGATTTTCCATAACAACACTTTCCAGTGACACCAAACAAAACCATACTATAATCAATAAATTAAGGGGGGAAGTTTCAAGAGAAACAGTGGTGCTGCGTCGGTGAGGTAGTATAACAAGATAATTTTGGTTTTACCAACAGAGTTGATTATGTGGATTGGCCACCGTGAAGAGTTTGAAAGCTGACGTTTCGAGCGTTAGGTCTGTTCTCTGACGAAGGGCTAACGCTCGAAACGTCAGCTTTGAAACTCTTAACGGTGGCCAATTTAAATTATCAACACAATTGATATAACCAAAATTATCATATTATGATAACAAAACGAAGATGAGAACAATTGACATGTTTTTTTGCAACAAAGCAAAGCTATACAACAGCAATGACTCTGTCTATTTGCGCTTACAGCTACAGCACATTGTGAATTTCTTTAAATGGATCCTCGGAAGGAAGAGCTGACTCACTCTTTACCACCTCAACAACTCCTGCTTTCTCCATCTCTTGGCATCGCAGTGCTTTTCTTCGATGTTGGTCAAGTGGAATCAATTACGCGTGGTCAATTTTCGCCAAATTTTTTTTTAACGCCGGTCTTAAATTTCGCAATTTTTCTACAGTCGCGAAATAAGTTAAAATAAGGTACTTGATCCACTATTGATATTGTAAGAAGTTACAACTTGTCGCACCTGAGTATTAAAGAGTTGACACTCTCCTGCCTTAACGGCTAGGCGAAATAACAAAAACACCAATTCGAGGTATCGTACCTTTGATGACTCTGTGAGAAATAGCCGCGAGTCCTTCACTTGACATTGCACAGGCACGGTAACGTCGATTACTTTACTGGGGCCTCGATTAACGCCCTGTGTACTGAAAGAAACAAAGAAACTAAATCACCATTGTCGAAGCACTATTTGCTTATCATGTAACAAAGAAATAAAATCCATCCGCAAGACTTTTGTTATGCGTGACTCTTAAAATCTGTTACCTTTCGTCCATGGACACCAAGTGTCCATACCACGCATTTACTATTATTAAGCCTGCAAAACATAAAGAAAGGCGACATCTATCAGTCAAATACCATAAAGCCAAGGTAATAAAAAAGGGCGAACTTAAGAATGATGTTCTATTCCTTACCGTGCCGGGATGATTCATATTCAATTATTCTCTCGCAAGTCTCTTGCATCAGTTGTATCTGAAAAGAAGTGAACATGACTCTTCGTTTCAAGCATTCCTCTCTAAATTTCTTTAATTTCAAAGAATGTTACCACGGTTTTTAATTAGCCACACTCCGACCAAGTCGTAGGAAAGTTAGCAATGCGATGTCTTTGTTAATAACCAAATTTGTCTCATGAAAATTCTTGTTTTCACCTTCCTGGGTTCGACAGGATTTATTTCAGGGTCTCTCGCCCCGGGAGCTCTTCTCAGAATTATAGAAGATTTGAATTGATTAAGTAAACGGTTGGTTTTTTGCAGACATTTTTAACACCCTCGCTAGAAGCACACAGTGTGGTAACAACACAGAAAGTTGTGAAATTGAATAAAAAATAAAGTAGATTTTAGCAGTAGCATTTCAGTGAAACAACTCTTCGCTTTGTGGTGTTAAGTTGAGCTGGAATCAGCTGTGTTGGTTTTTGTGAAAGGAGGAAATCTGGAGAACCCAGAGAAAAACCTTCAGAGCAAGGACTGGAACTAACAACAAACTGAACCCGTTTGTGAAGTCAGGTTGAGGAATCGAACCCACGCCACAAGGAGCGCTCTCAGCACTGCATCATCCTTGCTTCCGAAATAGACAGCCAAATTTGGACAAAACGAGGTTTCACTGTTCTATAACACAGCAGTAAAAAACGCCACTTACACTACTCTCTGCCTCTCGCTTCTTTTCCGCCATTTGCCTTGCATGTTTCGTTTTATTAGCTTCTGTCTCCCTAGGAAAAAGAAAAACATTCAGTGAAAACTGTCCAGCAAAATATTATCAAAAGTATTATCGAAAAACAACCTAGTGTTGGACATGCTGAGCCACGAAAGACATCCGTTCTAATCCAGTACTTTCCCTGCTCGAAACGCGCGATGCGAGCGTGCGAGAGGTCAGCGAAGGGTCAACGAGGGTCTTAGCAAGATGTCTTGAGTCAAACCCCTCACAGACCTCGCAGGCTCGCTCCGTTCCTCTTGAATTCCGCGGGCTATGCCTCTCAGTGCTAATGAGATCCTGCTCGTAGACTAAATGAACGCTTACATTTCCTTTTCCATCTTCACAAATGGGTTGACAATCAGCATCTTCACGACCCAGAACACAGCAACTGGAACGACCGTGCCATAAAATATAGCGGCTGGTTGGATCTCTTCCGACAAGTTTATTGGAAAGTTGTACACTTGAGATGCACGCGTCAATCTAACATAAAAAAGGAAAATAAGACCAACATTTGCTAAGTCTGTTATGCGTCTCTCCCAATATGGTGTGCCTGTGTTTAAGAGCGAGGGACACAGTAGCTTAGTGGCAAGCTCGCTGAACTCTGCATCGTCTTACCAACAGTTATTTACTCGAGAAAGATGTTGTTCGTCTTGTCACGAGCAAGGGACAAAGAAAAAATTCTGAGTCTCCGTGAGGAATCGAACCTCAGACCTTCGGATTCCGTGCTCCGATGCTTCACACCTGAGCCACAGAGACTCTACGGTGAGCGAGGTCTATTACGAAGTTCATGACACGCGGACTATTCTAGTAACACCATTTACGATTTTCCAATAGTCAAGCGACGTGATTGAACCAGGCATGAACATTATCACATACCTTGCATATGAAGAATACATTGTGAAAGTTAAATCAAGGAATTTTCGCTTAATTTCCGATGATCACTCGACTCGGGAAACTCGTCACTAGTGCTCCTCGGGCGTACCTCTAGCCGGTAGGATTTTGGCACGACCCTGTTCCAGGCGTTCAGTCAGTAAAGCGAAGCGCGATGCTAGCGGAAGAAGGTTTGGGTCGAGTCGCGCCGCCACAATCGCACCGTTTTACTATTTCAATGCGTTTTACTGTAACCGAATGCCTAGTGCAGGCTACCCTAATAGTTCGGCCGGCGTTACCAGTTTATACTCCAGAGCCAAGTTGTCCGAAGACCGATTAGCGCTAACGAGGGTTAAATTTTCATTCAGGTTTTTATATTGTATTTTCTAAAGCTTCTTTAGGGATAATTTTCTCTATTCTTGCCGGAGCATCCAATCATCAAATTGTCGACAAAAAGAGTTATAGTGCATTTTCTTTAACCCTTTAAACCCTTAGAGTGACGAGCATCAAATTTCTCCTCACAATATCACCCCTGAATCACACGTTAAGGTCATGAGAATAAAGGAAATGATCACCAACGGAAGAGGCTTTTGATTAGTAAACAAATTCTCCTTGTCAGCACCTTAGGAAAAGTATAAAGAGCAGTATGGAGAATATGCATACTGTATTTAGGGTGTAAAGGGTTAAAAACTTTCAGATCTGAAATCAGATTTTACACTAAACCTGAGTTATCTCAACTCAGCTTTGAACGAGCCGGCCCAGCTGGGCGGAGAGAGAGGCGTGGTGAGCGTAATAGCGGAGCTCGCAGAGCGTAGACCCATAATTATACAAAATAGTAGTAACCCATCAAGCCGAAAAATTTGGATGTACGACCGTACGACCGTACAAGGTGCTACTTTTAACATGCGTGGTCAGCTGTACCGCGGGCACGTCAACGCCACGGCTTTGTTCGGTAGTCCAGTGGTCAGTGCGTCGGACGACCTGGGTTCTAGTCCCGGCCGTGGCAAGGCGTTGTGCCCTTGAGACGTGCGGGAAAAAAAAATGCGAGCTCCGCTTTTAGGCTTGGCTAAATCTATATATTAGCCTTTAGCAGTTAGTAAAATGGAGCGAAATACTTCACAGCGCGATAGTAGCAGGACAACGCCGTTTTCTGTCGCATTTCGTTTTACTGCAGCACAGATTTGAGAGTTAATAATAAGTTATCATCCAGCTCTTACTTTATTTTGACCACCACACCGGTTGGTATTCCAATGCTCATCGTAGCTGTTAATGTACTATGTTCAGAAATTTTCCTCTCGCATCCATACTGAAGGACGCTACCGAACGTCCCAGTTCTAAAGAATAAATGAGATGTCCATGAGTATCGTGAAAGCCCACAAAGACACAAAAAATCATTAACCTCCAAAACTATTTCAGTTTATCGTAAATGATCCAACAAACCCCCTTCTCTGAGTCCTGCTCTCTAAAAAATCCCTAAAAAAACCCTCTCCAAAAAAAAAAAAAAAAAACCTGATAAACCCTCTCTAAAAAGCCCTCTCTAATAAACCCCTCCCTAGAAGAACTCACTCTAAAAAACCCTCTCCGAAAAAAAACTCTCTCTTATAACCCCCTATTTAATAAACCCCATTCTAATAGATCCGTTTGTAATAAACCCCTCTCTAAAAAAAAATACCTTTCTAAAAATCCCCTTTTTAATAAACCCCCCTATAATAAACCCATTTCTAATAAACCTCTTTCTAGTAAATCCCCCTCCCGTCCGCTCCCACCCCCTTTTCCATCTGGAACCCTTCGGAATTGAAATGCTCCCCTGAGGACATTTAGATACCATGGTAACTGAACATGGAAACAAATCTGACATACTTAACGGAGCCTTTGAGTTTTGTGTTCTTTTCTATTTTTCTTACAAACGCCACCATTGCAAACGAATGTGGAATACCAAACTAAAAAAGATGAAATACAATAATAAAACATTCATAGCTTGTTCCAAGTGACAAAAAAAATATTCAAAGGCTGTTAAGTTGAGCTTCTATTAACGGTTTGATCTCGAACTTTCTTCTGTATGCAAACTGTCCTTTAGGGAGTGGTCCAAATGTAGTTGTATTGAAAGTAACACGGGATTGCTTTGGTTTTGCCTCACTTCGCTCTGTGATTGGTCCAGATAACCTGCGTCACTCTCTCAACCAATCAGATGCAAAACTAAAACCAATCACGACTCGGTTGCCCGCGTTTCCCGCCTTTTAGGCTGTTTGGTTGTTTTTACTCTGAGTTTTCATTGGCTCTTAAAGGTATTTTCCTTTCTTCTGATTGGTCGTTTTCATTACTTTTGTTTCACGATACTCAATCAGAAAGCACTCTAACAGTGTCTAAAATAAAAACCAGAAGGTCGCCAATGCGACAGAAATTGACTTTTGGCAACCAAAGTTTCGATACCAAAGTTTTGTAGCTACTTGTTAGCAGGCAGCTCACCTCAAGTCTTGCTAAAGTTCTTCTTGAAAACCAGCGCTCAAGAGGCAAAACACCCTTTGTTTTACTTTGTTGCGCATTTAAACACTCAATAAAGATTTTCCATGAACAGAATATGTTTCAAACAATAAGAAAACGCATTTCAAAGTTCTCGTTTGAGGCGCAAATTGTTCAAATCCGAATTAGTGGTGACCAAATTGTTCCATCAAGCACGCCATTTAATCAACCTTTTAAACCCCGAGGGTGAATACTTGAACACTATGCAATCTCTCCTTACAGACATACTACCAAATCCTTCATTAAGATCATAAGAAAAAAGGAAATGATCACCAACCTAAGAAGCTTTGATTGTTAAACGAATTCTCCTTTTTAGCAACAAAGGAAATGTATAGAAAAAGTAGGGAGAACATGAATACTGATGTTAGGGTGTAAACGGTTAAAAAATATCGATTTTAAACCCTCCTTCATACCTGAATTGTAACCTGTGCTTTGGTGTCCTCAGATTCTGTTATGACGGTTGTATTCAGTGAAGATTGAAGACCTTCTCTATATGTTATGTAGCCAACTGTGTTTTTGTCTAGTTGCCGTACTATCACTAGCGAAGTAAAATAAACGACGTTAAGATTAAAAATGATGTTCACACATGATTTGATGCTAATCTGGTTTAAAAAGATTTAATGAATGTAACCGAGAAGTTGCAATTCATAGACCCAACGTTTCGACACTCCCGTCTAGTGCCTTCATCAGGGGTGATCTAATCACTGCAACAAGAGGTCCTTTTATATGCTCACTAATAAGCTGCCCTTTTTTCTGACGAGGTGTAGAGAGGCGTCGGGTGGAAAGCCATCATCATCACGATTTAAAGGAGCGCGGGCGGAGTTGATATGCGTCGATTAGTGGGGATAATTTTAGACTTATCCCACCCAACTGTATGGTTAGTTAGGCATGTGTGCTCTGACAAAGCTGAATTGTCCTTTTTGAAAAAGAACACCGCTTTTTGTTGCTCTCTCAAACGTGTACCAAACTGACGTTTGGTCTGTCCGATATACTCGTGATCACGGTCATTGCACGGAATAGAATAAATAGTGTCGGTTCGTTGTTCTTTCGTGACAGGATCCTAAGATTTAGCGAAAATATGCTAAGGATGTTATTACTTTGTCGAGTGTATAAGGGAGGTTTATTAGAGAGGGGATTTTTAGAAAGGATTTTTTTTAGAGGGGTTTTCTAGAGAGGGGTTTAGTAGAAACGGGTCTATTAGAAAGGGGTTTATTAGAGAGGGGTTTATTAAAGAGAATTTTTTTTTTCGGAGAGGGGTTTTTTGGAGGGGGTTTTTTAGAGAGGGGTTTATTAGAGGGGTTTTCTTTTAGAGAGGGTTTTTTTTTTGAGAGGGGTTTTTTAGAGGGTTTTTTTAGACTGAGATCCCATGAGGATTCCATTGGAAAAAATTCGGATACAAACACCTTGTGCATGCTGCTGGGATTACCGATGTCAAAAGCATCATGAATAAAAGTACGTTAAGAAACATGGTAAATTTTGAGCTTGATTCTTTTAATCCCAAGATCTTATAAGTAATTCTCCCAACTGTTTGCCACACAATTCTTATGCTGTTTGATCTGAGAATTTGGTATTGGATCAACTACTAATCCCCTGATTGATATTTTTCTTTATTCTCATCACCTGTCTGCTTGAAATTGTATTGATATTGTTAGGAGAAATTCTGCCTTGGTCACTCATGGGAGCTAAAGGGTTAGGATAAGGTGACATGTTATTTGTTTGTGATAAGCATGGGATGAATGGGGAAAAATGACTTCCTGGCAAGGTTAGGGGATAAATAACAATCTCATGGTTCTTCACCAATGATATATTCAATTCTGAAGATGTAACTGTTAAAATTTGAACAGATGAGCTTAACATAATGTTACTATCACAAAATACATACTGCAATGAAATCCACCAGACACTGCACTGCCATGACCTCTGATGGAAATTCCTCCAATTATATGACTAAAGAAACACAGAATATATATTTTAGGGTCAAATAAACAAAAAATGTTCCAAAAAGGCTTCCAATATAAATTATTTTGTAGCCGAGATTGAGATGAAAAAAAACATCTTGATTAGCCTTACAGTTTTCTCTTACAAATCAACTCCAGAAAGCTACACTTAATATCAAAACTGAGTTTGCTTACGTTGAGGAATGCTGATGGCAGAAGTAATAAACACTTTACTAACTGTTGGACCAAAAAATTACTCACCTTCTCTGCGTAAGGTTTGCAAATCCCCGAAGGGTAAGATTTGGGCCATTTCCAGCCTCAAAGGTGGCCTAAAATTAATTCAAATAACCTTCCAGTTATTTCAACCCTTTACATCCTAGCATCAGAGTATCAGTATACATATTCTCCAAACTGATCTTCAAACATTTCCAAAGGTGTTAACAAGGAGAAAGTGTTTAGCAATCAAAAGCATCTTTCATTGGTGATCATTTCCTTTATTCTCCTGATCTTACTGTATGAATCAGGGGTGACATTGTAAGGAGAAATTAGATGCTGGTCTTAAGGGTCAAAGGGTTAACAGCTATGAGATGAGAAGAAAAAGATGAACAGTTGCCTTCCATGATTGATAAAAAAAAAAATCGAAAAAAGATCTCAACATTGACACCTTGTTCATAACTATTCACCGTCTAGGAGCGAAAGTTCAAAACAGAACTCACAAGTTGTTCCCTGAACAGGGAATGCAGCCAAGCAAAATTACCTCAGCCCATTTACTGTGTGAAAATAACCTCCTCGTTGACACTGAGACACTACCATCCCCATTTCCATTCTTGATCTTTAAATTACCAGCTAGAGTGAGTGTATCAGTGCGAGTCAGAGGTGCCTTGAGAGGAAAGCAAAAGTTATTTCAAGGCTGTCTCCTTTTCTAAACAGCATATCTGATGCCTTAATAACAAATCCAAGAGACTGTAACAACTGAACATAAAAGAGTTTGTTGTAACAGTTATACTTTAAAGTGTTTCTCAGTCACTATTAGGTTTCCCTTAACCTCAAATGGTCCAAGGGCTTTTACTCTGACTCACAGAGAGCAAGAACTAATCAATGAAATCAGGTCAATTGTATCACCTTTCCCTCTTTTTTAGCTTTCTTCTTAATCAGCAAAAAGTTTCCTTCATAAAAATGCTGAGGTTTAGAAAATTTTGATCAACAATCTGACAAAGTAGACAGTTGGCAAGCAAAGGATACAAACACTAGTTACTAAAAACTATTGATATCTTGATTTATTATCCCACTTCACTGAGTAGAGTACAAATAATGTGTGAATCGAGTGCAAATATCAGGCCATATTTGGACACTTGGTCATTTTGTACTGTAACAAATAAACTCAATTAACCAGTCAGCTGTGCGTTACACTTCTCTATCAGCTTCCCTTTTCTTGCCTTATAAGAAATGCACATAAAATAAAGCAGTTGACAATAAATAACTTATTACACGTTTTGGTGTGTAGTAATGCCTGTAATTGTACTTGTAGTTTACATTTTGACTAGCATTACAGACTCATCCAAATATAACAAAACTTGTAAAAATACTTTGTGATACTACATACCAAAACTTCAGATAATACAATATACATATATTCATCAAGTACCTCTATTGACTGTGAGATTGACATGGAACTAACTTCAATGTTTGGCAAAACCCTGAGATTCCAGACCAAAAAAGACATCTTTAGACAATGCTTTAGACTGTTTAATGTTTCTATTTGTGTTACTTGTGATACTCTGAGAGCAGTCCAAAATTAAGAAAAGAACTCACCTTTCATTGAAAGAATCAATTAAGTTGTAATTATCGAACAAGTCTGTAGCATCCACTCCAACAGAAATACTTCCCTGAAAGGTAAAAAATGCTTTTCACAAATCATTTTGGTACCATAATACAGTTAAGTCTGCATGCATTAGATGGACCAACTTAGCTGCAAGAACTTATCAACGCATACAACATACTTTTGAACAAAGTTTGTGTGGCCACAGCATAATTCCTCACAACCTAAATGATCTTGCATGGTACTCAATAATCAATTCACTCTGACCAAGGGCTAGTGCTCATAACATGAGCTTTAGAATCTCTTCACAGTGACCACTTCACATTTCAACTACACTGATAAAACCAAATTATCTTGAAATACTCCCCTGCTGATGCAGAACCACAGTTTTTTTTAGAATCTTACTCCCTCTCACCATTTAACAAATGTTTACCCCATGCACAATGTTAATATTTCCTACACCCTTGACCATGAAAAAGCGACTGAGAGAAACAGTCCTTCCCCTGGAAAGGATGATGGTCACATTGGAGGTCAACTCATAGATATCAGTCAGGCTATGCTCACTGCTGACAATTTGTCAGCAACCATTACGCCCCTGATTGGAAAAAGGAATTCTGAGAGTAAAAAGCCTTGCTAAGGAACCAATCACAGTCATGTCAGTTCCCTTGACCTTTCAATTGTTAGTCTTGTGTGCACATCACAAGGCTAATGTGCTAACCATACAGCTATCAAGTCTTTCCTTCATTCAGCTTAATGATAATACCACAAAATCTGAATACCGAAAAAAAATAAAAAAGAAGCTAACAACTCACTGTTGGATTTGTGATCTGCCGTAAACGCTGCTCCTCCTTCTCTCTTTGTAGTCTCTCATATTCTTCACGCAACTAAGCAAGTAACATACAACAACATTCCTATCATTAGAAATCTCCCTTTTTACCTTAACTCTTTAACTCCCAGTGATTAACATGTAACTTCTCCCTATAATATCCATACATTATCCAGCAAACAGGTAATGAGAATACTCAAACCTATCAGGCAGAAGTTGTTATCTTGATTTTCACCAAATAACTGTAAATCATATGTATTTACAGGGAAATTTGTAGCCACCAGAGGGTAGAAGTAACAATCAGATCTTGGGAGTTAAACAGTTACAATGCACTATCAATCTTCTCGTCATCCTTAAGTTGACTACACTTATCTAGCAAAGCAGTTTTACTCGTGATTGTAAACCTCAATTACTGACAAAACATTTCTTCAAATTTTGTTAGAGTAAGTTTCAGCTTACTTCAGCTGGAGACCTTTGCCTCTCAATAATCTGCAAAAGGATAAAACAACATTTTTAACTCTTTAAAAACCCTAAGAGTGACCAGCATCTACTTTCTCCATACAATAATACTGCTGAACCCTCAGTTATGATCATGAGAATAAAGGGAATCATCACCAACTAAAGAAACTCTTGATTGTTAAACAAATTCTCCTTATCGGCACCTTTGGAAATGTATAGAGAACAGTATGGAGAATATGCATACTGATGTTAGGGTGTAAAGGGTTATTTAATTTCAAGGGAAGCACAGAAAAATCCCTCTGTCTCCTTCTAGGTGATGAGAATGAAGAAATTTATAAATTATTAATCAATCTAATTCTGAATTCTTAGAACAATTGTTATAAAAATTGAATGGCAGATAGTAAGGAGAATTATTCAGGAGATCTTAGGAGTAAAATGGTTAACAATACTACTGATTACTTCTCAGCACTAACCTCCCAGCCAGCATCAAGTCCTTTTTGGCCATAAATATCATAAATTCCTCTTTTCTCTGGATTACTGAGGACTAATTGGAAAAAAAATTATATTATTAATTATTTAACATACTTAATATTTTGCTCAAGATATGCATTTTGGTTTTTTTTTTTACCTTAATTTCCCAATGAAGATTCAATTGAATTATAATTAACATACTTCAAAGAATAACATACCATCATGAGCCTTTTGAACTTTACTGAATAATTCTTCAGCAATCTGGAGAACCAATTAAAAAAAAGACAATTTCAATGTAAAACATTTTGACCATAAAGAGAAATCATTCACGAAGGGCCTAAGATTACAAACAAACAAAAAAGAAGAAGTAAGAGTAATTTCCCTTGTTGATCCCCTCATCCCCCCTCCCCCCAACCCACCTTCCCCAGAGCTTTTTAATTTCCAGAGCTTTAGGACAGGGAGCCAAGCCACAAGTCACAGTGAACATTCTTTCTGAACTGATGCCCAGCGTCAATATATGAGTGTATACCTCATACAGTATATTTTCCTCTAGAGGAAAAAGCCTACAAAATTTAAAATAGGATTAAGTTTCTTTCACAGACCTGTTCACCTTGAGTCCACAGCCTGGTTACTGAGATTGCATCATATTCGCCTAGTAACTGAGCGTACATTTCCTATGCGACTTGAGATCTTGCTTAGATCTCCGCCAATTAAAAGGCTAAAATTTCTCATATGTGTAGAGTTCTCATATGGCCAACTAACCGGGCTACCCTATTTCAGGATGTCAAGGCATCCCCCTTTGGCAAGCATTATGGTCACATGCAATATTCAAGGACAAGTACATTTCTGATGTTTTGGTTGCTAAACATCAGTATTTTGGCCTATGTTGAGAATCGCATATTTTAATACTAAGATAAATCTTCATATAAAATTACAAAACAAAATTCTGGCGAACCGAAGAGTTATTTAACAAGCTTACTTTTTTCTTGGCGGGATCAGTATGCTTATCCGGATGATATAACACACACATGCGCCTGTAAGCTGCTTTGATTTCACTTTCATTGGCCTGAAATTCAATTCAAAGTACATCATTAGCAAGATAACATAGTTGCCGCATCAATAATTTGGCTCAGTTCATTTCTACCTCTCTACGGACGTTTAAAACTGCATAATGATCTACTACTTCTTCGGTTTCCTCTGATTCCGCCATTTTGAAATTGTTCCGCTGGATCTCTCTTTTGAAATTGCGGGCTACTAAGATGATTCATCTCGAAGTTAAGTTAATTGGATAGTACTGCACACACGCCCACAAATTTACCATATTTGGAGAATAACGTGTGTCTTAACGGACTGAAATTGAAGATGTTCGTAATTCTGTTTCACTTCTCTGCGCTGTTTTCATAGTTTTTAATCATGCTGGTTGCGCGATCGGTTGTCAGAAGTCAAGGCCTGAGGTATGCTTCTTTCGTTTCGTGTGCCCTTCATGCGGCAGAAGTATTTATAATGCTGAAGGTTTTACCAACGAAGTCATGTTTGTTCCCGTAAATTGTTGCAATCTTACGCAACGCGATCGATCCCTGTTCGCAGGGATTGGTGAATGAATGAAAATCCTCGATTTTTTTTAGGATAGAGTCTTCTTAAATAGCTTATGCAACTTGCGGAGGTTTTTAAGCTAATTAAGAGGAAAGAGGGATATATTTAGCAGTTTAACACATTTGGGTCTACGATATTGCATAGGAAATATCCCGTTTACAACATGCTTTGGCAGAGCATTCCACATTTGTAGAGCTTGAGATTTTTTATTTCTTCTACAACGCTAAACAGGCGAAAGAATTTACGGCTGAAACGCTTGGTCATTTCCGCTCTTTTGATCACGAGCGTTATGTACAATAGAGAACTTTTGGAGGCTGACCAAGAATGAAAACGCTTCCTCTCTACGCCTTAGCAATAACAAAACAAAATACCGATTGATGTCATGGAAATTTTGTGAACTTTGTTGGAACACGCAGGTCAGAGAGAACTAAAAGTGATGATGACCTTGTAAAAAGCAAACTTATGTTAAAAAAGATTTATTACTTTTGGTATGAAAAAAAAAAAATCTTCTTTTCATTGTTTGGGTGTACCGATTGTGAAAAAATTTATTAAAGGAATCAATTATGAATTAGTAGGTCTTCTCAATTTAAAATAAAATCGCAGTTCTAAAAATGGAAAGCAGACGAACAGACTTTTATTTTTAGTATTATGTCTTAAATATTTCCTAGTCACATCAGTAACAACAGGTAATTTTTTTCCCTTTCGGAAGTTTTTATCAACACTGATAAATTTGACAGCTGAAACTTTCAGCTGGGTGGGACTCTAAGTGACAATAAGGTGGGGAGATTATCCACAAAGTTGAAGTTCCTCGTCAGGATCTTTTATCCTGTAGAGGGTGTAGAAAAGTTTTTTCTTGTTTCCAGCTTCCTGTTCCAAAATTATTCTAGATAGTAGCTCAGCAATAATTAGCACACTAGCTGAATAACCTTATTTACAAACAGCAATGGTCTGTTCATCACCATTGTGTCATTGAACTGTTATATTTTTAATTGTAATTATTTCTTATTATTTACCAGAATCCTTGGTACTAGAAGTGTAGTTTCTCTGCCTCCCAATGAACCAGCAACGAACTTGAACCCAGGCAGCACTGACCTTAAAGAGTTGAAAGTGGAAATCCAGAGAATTCATGGTGAATGCCTGGAAATTCCATGTGTTGTTGGTGGAAAGGAAATCTATACTGGAAACACAGGATACCAAGTGGTGGTATGTTACAGGATCATTTGAACATCTTGTGCTAGCCTCCTTACCATTAGCAATACTTGAAAGAATTATTTTACATATCTTACTAAAATGAATCTGTATTCTTAGCTTGGTTTTCTCTATGTTTATTTCTTTTGTAGCCCTACAACCACTCTCTGAAGATTGCCAAATTTCACATGGCAACTGAGGTAATTGTTTTCTTTTTGTTTGTAATAAGTTATTTATTCGAAATACTAGAAAATATAAATCATATGTGCACTGCGGTTGAAGAAACAATTATAGCATCGATCCTTGCAGTTGCGAACACTTCTGAACCAGAAATTGAAATAAGGCCTAAAAAAAATTCAGGCCCATATGGGATTTGAACCCATGACCTCTGCGATATCAGTGCAGTGCTCTACCAACTGAGCTGACAAGCCAACTGGGAGCTGGTCATTATGTTGGATCCAAATAAACCTTTGAAGTCTGGACACATCGTAATTAAATGATTTATTGTTTATATGTATGGTTGTAGGAAGTGATAAAGGAGGCCATTGACAGTGCCATGGCTGCAAGAAAGGATTGGGAACGTACACCTCTTGAACACCGGTGAGGTCTTTGAGGTTTAAACCATTTCATTGAACATGGGCAGTTTGTCTCAATGGCATCATTCTTTTTTGTTTTTCAGGGCAGCCATCTTTCACAAGGTTGCAGATTTGATTACAGGAAAATACAGAATCCCATCTCTAGCTGTCACAATGGTGGGACAGGTGTGTTGAATCCTAGGTAGACTACAGTCATCTCGCGATAACTCTAACCTTTAACCCTTTAACCCTGAATCACACGTTAAGGTCATGAGAATAAAGGAAATGATGACCAGCCAGAGAAAGTTGTGATTGTTAAACAAATTCTCCTAGACAGTACCTTAGGAAATGTATATAGAAAAGTGTGGAGAATATGCATACTGATATTATGGTAAAGGGAAATTGAAAAAGGTTGAAGTTATTGGGAGTTTTGAATTAACAGGAGTTGAAAACAAAAGACCTGAAATTAGAGAAAAGATATTCACTTTTTTCTATTCATGCAGTATACATCAGAAGGTGGAGTTAAGCAGCAAGTCCTTGTGAAGTACTGTTAGTTAACCCTTTAACTCCCAAGATCTAATTATTAATTCTCCCCATGCAGCTGCTACACATTTCCTTGTAAATTGGTCATGAGAACTTGGTGCTAGATCAAGATAGCAGCTTCTACCTGATAAGTTTGAATATTCTCATTACCTGTTTGCTGAAGAATGTATGGATATTGTAGGGAGAAGTTTTATGTTAATCACTTCTGGGAGTTAAAGGGTTAAATGTGCCTTAAGTACTAGAATGACAAGTTTCATGTAATGCAAAAAAAGGACAATGACTAGTTGGATGCTTTAAAATATATTAAATGCTTTGGACTGCAGTACATTGTTTGTTTTCATTTGTCACATATTGACAGATTTAGCTTGACAGGGTTTGAGTTATCAAAGGTTAAAAATATATGACCTGACAGGAATAAAAATTGTTTTGAATTAGAGGGAGGTGTGAGTTATTGAGGATTCAGGTTAGTGATGGTTAAGTTACAGTAAATGTATGACAGATGACATGCACTAATAATGTTTAATAACTGTTTCAATCAAGAATAAAAATATGATTCTTTCAGGCTAAAACTGCATTTGAGGCTGATATTGACTGTGTTCAGGAGATAGCTGATTTTTATAGATTTGGAATTCATTATGCAAAGGTAAAAACCAGTATTAGAAATACTAAAACACTGAAAGGTTTTATGACCATTACATTATATATTATTTCCTTGAATAAGCCCCTGGGCACTTCTTTAAAATTTCTCCTATTGGGAGGGGTGCTTGTTAGAAGGAGGGCACTTAATTGAGGGGTGCTTATTAGAGGGAGGGCACTTCATTAAGGGGTGTTTATTAGAAGGAGGGCACTTCATTGAGGGGTATTTGTTTGAAGGAGAGGGGTGCTTATCAGAAGGAGGGCACTTCATTGAGGGGTGCTTATCAGAAGGAGGGCACTTCATTGAGGGGTGCTTATTAGAAGGAGGGCACTTCATTAAGGGGTGCTTATCAGAAGGAGGGCACTTCATTGAGGGGTGCTTATCAGAAGGGGGGCACTTCATTGAGGGGTGCTTATCAGAAGAAGGGCACTTCATTGATAGATAGATAGATAGATAGTTTATTATCAAGAACCTTGCAGCCACAGGCTGAATTACGTTTGATTTACAATAAAATATATACTACAAAAAATACATGGCTAAGAAGAACTAATTAAAAAGACAAAAATATATAATTAAGAGAAAAACAATATTACATCATTGCTTTATGGACATAGTGATGGATAAAACTATTTCGAGTACGAAAGGTGTGGAGGTGCCGTGTAGTAAAAGAGTGCTGACTCCTTAAATTGACTTCGCACTCATTCTTGGGAGGTAGTAAGCTATAGAGCTTGTGCGAGGGATTAGACAGGATGGAATTAAAAAGCTTATCACATAAGAACTCGCGGCGGTTGTGTAAGGGAACTAGACCAGTCAAAAGAAGCGCCTCATTGTACGAACAATCTGGATAGATAATACGTAAAGCTCGCCTTTGACATCTCTCAAGATCTACTGAAAGGTATTGCGGGAGGCTATGATGATAAACAGGGCATGCATATTCAGTGACAGGCCTAATACAAGTCAAATAGAAGAGCAAAAGTTCCTCCGACTTGACCTGTGCACGCTTAAGCTGACGCAAAAAATACAGGCGCTTGTTTACTTTCTTTACAACTTCGGATACGTGATTATTCCACGTAAGATCGCAAGATATCTGCAAACCTAAGATCTTTGCTTGCTCTACACACTCTAAGTCCTGATCATTAACCTTAATTGGATCAAAGTTCTTTCTAGAGTGACTGAATGTTATGTGCAGTTCCTTGCACTTGGTTTCATTTAATTGGAACTTGTCAGCAGAAGCTTGCGTCGCGAGTTCGTCAACCGCTTGTTGGACTTTGCTGACCTCAGACTTCATGACTGTTTCAGAAATAGTGGAGTCATCGACATATTTCCACATGTCTGTACCCGGGATGATGAGGTCGTTTATCATAATAGTAAATAACCAGGGGCCAAGTTTTGTGCCCTGTGGGACCCCTGATGGGATGGCCCCCCACTCCGAGTAACAGTCCTGACTAAGTTTAACACGCTGTCGGCGACAGGACAGAAAGTCCACTATCCAGTCAATTATTCCGCTTGGAAGATCGTATGAAATGAGCTTCTGAACTAGGATCTGATGGTCAATAAGGTCAAACGCCTTGCGGAAGTCAAAGAGGATGGTTCTGACAGTTGCACCGTTCCCATCCGTAGCACTAAGCCATGAGTGGACCATGCTTATTAGTGCTTGTGTCGTACTGGAACCTGGCACAGTCCCAAACTGCCGTACATCCACTTTCGCCAACACAACAGGCTTGAGGAAACTCTCCACGACGAAATCTTCAGCAACCTTAGAAAGCACGGGAGTTAGGGATATTGGACGTAGATGTTTGTTTACATCGTGTATTGGATTCTGCTTTGGTACTGGAGTGATGTTAGCGTCCTTCCAAGACTGAGGCAACCGTGCTTCCTTAAACGAACAGTTAAGGATATCAGTCACAGGCAGTGCTAGTAAATCTGCATTCTCTTTAAGAAGCCAACCGGGGATTCCGTCCGGACCGGTTGCCTTAGTTGGATTTAAGGCGGATAGCTTCTTTAAAACAGAGAATTCTGATACCTGGAAAGCACTCTCCTGGTCAGAGTGAAAGAACTGGAATGGAGAAGAAACTTATCTCCTATACTAATTTTTCTGTAGTAGAAGTGTAAAAAGTTGTACATAAAGTGGCAAGAGAAACAGGTTTTCTTTGTATCCTTACTATTTAAGAAAGGGAGGGAGGAGGGGTTGTTTATTTGTGAGGGGTGCCTGGTTGACATTTTGGCCAAGGGGGGTGGGTACTTATTTAGGGTAGGGCGCTTATTAGAGGGTGGGCACCTTTGAAGCAATAGGCTATTGAATGTGGTCTAACATTCAAGTTCATGGACATTGGCCTGCTTGGGTGGGGTAGTGAAAGCCTAGTGAACAGTACCAGTACATGATTTGTTTTGTTTCTAATCAGGTTTTATTCATTGCTTTGCCTCAAATGTGTACATTTATTCTGATGAATATATGACTGTGAATATATCTAAATTATAGATTTTTCTGTGATGGCTTTCAATTTAATCCAGTTTACATGATTGTACTCTTCAACTTGCCTAGAAGGATTTGAAGTTGCAAGTAAAATTTTTATCTCAGAATTGAAGTCACAATGGATATTCAGTAAGAGACACTTTTCAAGTCACAAATTTATGTGGATGTGGTTGCAGGAACTGCGTGATGGTGTAGAGCTTCACCAATCTAGAGGGGCAATCAACCAACTCAAATACAGAGGTCTGGAGGTAACTCATCCAGTGTTATTAAAAAATTAAATAAAAATTTAAAATACATTTTGTTGTCTTTCCACCACTATGCCATTTTATTTTATAAGGGCATCAAAATACATAAAATTAGATTATCATGTTATTAGTATAGGTAATAACATGATTTTGGGTGCCATTTGGTTTTAATAAGCACAAATAAATTTTTTGAAGACAACAAAATTGCATGAGCCGATAGGGCAAGTGCAAGTTGCAATCTTTGAAACATTGAAAAAGTGCTTACAATGCTAAATTGCACGAGAAATCATGTTTTTACTTGTTAATAATAAACATGAAAAAACATCACAGAGAGTCAAGACAAAATAATGTAAATTTTGGCAGCATGCACACTATTTGAGAATGCACTTGTTTTCAGCCAGTCAGACGTGCATAATTTTTTTATGTACATTAGAACACTGAAAAACAGGGCAAAAGTACTGGTGGAAAGTAGGGTAACAAAATGACTGTATTGAATGGTACTTTGAGTTATCCGCCTTTGTTATTTGTTAAACCATCAATTAACATGTATATATTTACCCCTGCCACCCCCAGGGTTTTGTTGCTGCTATTTCACCTTTTAACTTCACTGCTATTGGTGGAAACTTAGCTGGTACCCCAGCAATTGTGGGCAATGTTGTTCTCTGGAAACCTGCCTTAACAACAATGTTGGCCAGTTACCAGGTGTACAAAATCTTCCAAGAGGCTGGTGTTCCTGATGGTAATGAATCTTTTTTTTATTGTTTATTTATATGCGGTTGAAAATAATGCTAGTCTAGAATCAAATAGTGGTTAGAGACCAAGGCTGTCATTAACCTCTTCACTCTTGAGAAATGTACTAAGCTAGAAATCCTCCCCATTCATTGCCATACAATTCTTTGTTGGCTAGTAGTGAGAATTTTGTTGCAGAACAAAATAAAATATTGCTTTGATTATTGAGTTGATAAACTCCATAATCATCATTACCTGCCTGCTAGACAAAGTAGTTTTATTTTGCAAGACAATTTAGTTATCACTCAAAAGGGATAAAGACTGTGACCCACTATAACCCTTGACACAACATGTTATATCCTTTGTCAATCGTTAAATTTGTACCTCAAAATCCCTATATGATATTGTAAATTTATTTATTCTGTAACAGTAAATTTGTCCTATTCACAATCCTATAAGGTTATAAGTAATTTGTGAATGCTTATATAATAGTTTTAGGTCAAACACGCGACCCACTTATAATAGCACTCAAGCTAATTGTGGGCACATGAAGACTTGTAAATACAAATCCAAGGAATAAAATGTACGTTTACACAATTGTCAGGGTTGAGTTTTTGAGAGGTTGGTAACTTGCTGGGGTGCAAAAAACATTAAAACTTTTTTATGACAGCTCTGCAGTCATTATGTGACATCAATTAGGAGCTTGACTCAGACAATGACTTCCACTCAGGTTTTGTAAATCAAAACAACACCCTATCTTTTCATAACCATTCTCACTCAGAAAATCAAATTCTATGATCCTCTGAGGAGACTGTACAGAGACTATCCTACTATAAATACAGGGCATACATTTTGTTTCCTGTGCTGTTGTTGCTGGAAATGATCTAGTGTTTTCTCAGTTGATTAGTGATAAATGAACATAAATCCTCAGAGCTGTTGGTGTGATCTATCAATGATTTATTTATTATTTTCTTGGCAGGTGTTGTGAACTTTATTCCATCATCTGGCAAGACATTTGGAGATGTGATAACAGCATCACCTCATTTAGCAGGAATTAACTTTACTGGCAGCGTTGAGTAAGTCACAGAACCCTATCTCCTTCCTGTGTCATTTGCCCCCCTTTTTCCTCTCTGAGAAAAAGAGAATTGTGGGCTCACCTTGCAATCAGCAGCTGGCTACCAAGTATGAGCAATTTTTATATTGATTGAATAATTTTTCAACTTTTCCTCAAGTAAATTATACATAGTCTATTTACAATTGATTTTAAAATGTATGCATAAAGAAATGCTGCTAATTTTCCATCAGCCTGCAGGGCAGGTGTAATTTTGGGAAGCAAGTGCTCAGAATTTTCTTAGCAAAATTATGACTGTCATCTTTAATTTTAATGGCAACAGAAGGCTGGGGAGAGAAAGAAATTTGTACCTTGGGGGTGAGCAGCAGTAAAAAAATGAGGAGAGGGGTGGGGTGGGGGAGTGAATATTTTTGCCTCTCTTCATCCCCCCATGGTTGACTCTAAATCCAAATCAAACATGGCCAGTTGAACAAACGATTGCATGCTTCTTAACGTTAACTCACCCTAATAAGACACCTGCACTGCAGGCTAATTTTCCATCTCTTCACTGTGTAAACTATTGTGATCACTTTGGTTTATTTCTTTAGAACATTTAGACACATTTGGAAAAATGTTGCAGAGAACATTGATATATACAGGTAAGCCAACCATGCCAGCTCATACATTATTGTTAACCATTTCAGTTTTAAGGTCTACAAATACTTTATCCACACTCAGTCAACGCTCCACTCAGTCTGCCATTCTTTTTGTGCAATTTTGACTCAAAGAATTTGATGTTTTAACTCTTTACACTGTCGCATCAGTATACATATTCTCCATACTGTTCACTGTACATTTCCTAAGGAGCTGACAAGGAGAATTTGTTTAACAATCATGAGCTTCTTCAGTTGTTGATCATTTCCTTTATTCTTGTCACCGTTACATTTGATTCAGGGGTGTGTTTTAAGGAGAAATTAGATGCTGGTCACTCTTAGAGGTTAAAGGGTTAAATGAAACTATGTCCCTTTAGTATTGATAGTTTCCTTTCTTTACATAACTTCTCCCTTTTGGTTGAAAATGTTTTGGCACTGTTTGAGAGAGAGTGTTAAATGGCTCAGAAATCTTGGAAACATTGTTTCAAGCAGGTTGAAAACCACTAGCCTTAATCTTGTTCAGATAATAAAGGAAAAATCAAAAAGGTGTTTGCTTTTTAGTGATTTTCTGAGGTACAATCATCCTGCTATTTTCAAACAGCATTGATCACATACAGTATCTTGAGAATTCAAGATTGTATAAAAAGTTTGGGAAAGCCATGATTTTGGAGGAACCATTTTGCCTACCAACCAGTGAGGTTGGTAGGCATATATAATTAGATCTAGAACCCAGCCTTGGAAGTTACTAAAAACTGTTGATTTACTTGTTATTTTGTTTGCAGAACCTTCCCAAGATTAATTGGAGGTTTGTGAAATCTCAGTTTTGAAGCAGGGTGTTTTTGAAAAGGTTCTTAATATGAAGATTAAAACTCTTTAACCTTTTTTTTTATCTTGTGTATGTGGTTGCAGAATGTGGAGGAAAGAATTTCCACTTTTTACACGAGTCTGCTGACATAGGTAAAGTTTGTTTGAGTTTGAGTTTCATAATTGCTAATAGTAACTAACTAATGAAATAGCAGCACTCCGTATGGCTCGAGGGCTTCGCCTAGGGGCCATAAATCCGAAAAGAGGAAACTCAGTTCGTAACTTGCCGCACAGACGTCGAACAAGCGGCATAACCACAGCGGCGTCAGTATAAATCAGCCTTACAGTCTTGAGTATGTTCTATCGAAGAGTTTAACTCCTTAAAGATATTAATAGTTTTCTGAAAGTCTTCAGAATACCATTAGGAGGGTAAATCCTCCTTATTCATGCAAGCCTCGCGCACACCCGTTTTCCTTTCGTTAAATCAAGGAGAACATTTTACGTGGAACTTTTAAATGATCAACTCTATACTCTGAAAAAGTTTTTTAAAAATACTAATTCAATTTTCAACTCGTTGAATATTTCAGACACGGTGGTTAACTGTACCATTAGAGCATCTTATGGGTATAGTGGTCAGAAATGTTCCGCGTGTTCAAGAATTTATGTTCCAGAATCCAAGTGGGCAGAGGTAAGCTTTCCATTTACCTCATTGTTTGAAATTTGCATGGCAGGATAAACTCGCAAATCTCATTATTTTGAAAAAATGCCATAATAAGGTAACTTGAACAATAAACGCCACGAATGTTGTAATCGCTAAATAAAATTGTTTTAAAAGTTTATGTAATAAGGTGCTGTCTGTATAAGGCGAAGGAAGGATTTTCAAATAATGGGGCGCTAGCCATTTGAATGGAATTCCTAGTTAGAAATTTCCATCAAATGGTACATACCTCATGCTCCCAAGCTTGAGGTTAACGCTCATACTGTAAATTAAGGTCCCGATTATTTTGCATCCCAATTTATGATTAGAGAGGAAAAAGGAGGCTCCGTAGGTTACTGTACAGACCTAGAAAATGAGTTTGATTAAATAATTAACTTCAATTAATGCAATTAATAGTGTGGAGGCGCGGTGGCTTATGGATCGGGTGGTGAGGGTTCGAGCCCTGGCCGGGGTCATTGTGTTGTGTTCTTAGGCAAGAAACTTTCACAGTGCTTCTCTTCACCCAGGTATACAAATGGGTACCAGCAAATATGCTGGGGGTAACCCTGCGATGGACTAGCATCCCACCCAGGGGGGGGAGTAGCTAGCCGCTTCATGCTAAGAAAACCGGAGTTAAGCACCGGCCCTATAAATAAAGTCTTTACTTAATTACTAATACAATTAATATACCTGTGATTTTTTGGTTTTTACTAGTAGTCCTTTTTCTTCATACTTTAGGTTAAGGAACTTCTTATTCAAAAACACAAAGAACTGAAAATGGGTTCGGTAAGTAAGCTTGCTACATAACAGGTTTTCTCGACATCTTATCTAGGGTACACTGATACAATCTTTAATTTTAACAAGCCTTGATTGTCACGCTTCATACAGTAATTTTCAAATGTTTGTCGAAAGTAATCTGGGATTGCATTGGTTTTGCTTCAATTTGCTTTGTGAGTGGTCCAGATAATTCGTGCCACTCTCTCAAACGATCAGATTCGAAACTAACACCGATCTCGTCTTTTTTGCCCTCGTTTGTCTGCGCTTTTGATAAGCGATTTACTCGTATTTACTTTGCCTTTTCATTGACTTCTTGTGTTATTTTTCCTAGTTCTAATTGATTGTTGTGATGACTTTGGTTTTGCTTTAACGACACTTGAACGAAAAGCGCTGTAACCAGTTGTTAAAATGTTATCTCTCATTGCAGCCAGAGGATTATGATACCTTTGTATCAGCGGTTATTGATGGCAAGGTAAAACCCTTTTACCTAATTTGTGATCCTGAGGAAGTACATAGCTAGGTTTGTGATTAACATTCCAGTGATTTTTTGTCTTTTTTTTTTTCAGTCGTACAAGAAAATAAAAGAGTACATCGATTATGCCAAAGAAAGCCCAGATCTCAGTATTATTGCCGGAGGAAAGTGCGATGACAGGTGAGATTGACTTGAGTTTACCAGAAGGATGTTTCCTGTGCGCTGCTCATAGTGTTATTATTAGGATAATAGTACATTATGATAATTAAGTAAATGTTAAGTTTCTCAGTGATTTCTTGTTCATACCCTCCTCTGCATGACACCGATTATTTACAATTTGATTTTCGGAGGGTACCGTTCTACTTCAGGACGACATCGTCCGTTTCCGCAAACTTGCGTCCGTTTCCATCTGATTTCGGACACTTGCGCCCGTTTTATAGCCTGCAGAACGGGCTTATTTTCATCCGTTTTGTAGGCGAACGGAGGCATGCGCGAGGTGAGCGCGAATTGCTCTTCCCTCGCGCGACTCGCACTTCGCGCTCGCCACGCACTTGCCTCCGCCTGCCACACAAAATTACGCTTGTTCTGCGGGCTAGAAAAAAGGACGCAGGAGTCCCAGATCACATGGAAACATGCGGAAACTGACGCAAGTAAACGCAAACTGACGATATCTTCCTGAAGTAGACTTTTTGTGCTTCTGGTTTCGGAAAATTGTATGTTTTTGGACGATACCATCTGGTTTCGGACACTTGCTTCCGTTTGCGGAAGATCGCGTCTGTTCTTGAACAGTACCGTTCGGCTTCGGACACTTCAGCCAAAAAAGATAGCAGACTTTCGTCCGCTTTCGGACACTTGCGTCCGTTCTTGGACGGTATTGACTGGTTTCGGACATCGGTTTTCAGACGTTTTGGTCCAATTTCAAAAACTGGGTCCGTTTTCGTAACGATATCCGCTAATTTCAGACACTTCTAGAAGTCGATACACGACAAAAGTGGAAATAACAATAATGAAATTTGCGAGGTATAACTTGTACTTCGTATACCTTTAGAAAACTGTGTTCTTAAGTAATTTGAAATCCTTCTCTTCTTCTTCCTTAGTGTGGGTTATTTTGTTGAACCAACTATCATCGAGACTAAGAAACCCGATGACAAACTCATGAACGAGGTAAACGCATTTCTGTCAAAAGTTTTCTTCTTTACGATTTATAAATTGTACTGTTCTGATTACTGCCTCATTCATTTCTTTTAATTTTGTTTGATTCTGTCTAATTTCTTCTTCAGGAAATTTTCGGCCCTGTTCTTACCGTATACGTATACCCAGACCAAAAATGCAAGGAGACGCTTCAATTAGTAAGAGCACTGTTAGCTAATATAGGAGTGTAGTTGTCAACGGTTTGTTGAAAATTATTTAGCATTGTATTGGTTTTTTTAATTTACTTCACTTTGTGATTGGCAGACTCTCAACCAATCAGCTGATAAATTTAAAACCGATTTCAAACCCGGTTAATTGTTTTCCGGCACCTTTGTCAGTTTTACTTTTTTATACTCTGGGTTCTGATGGAGCAGTTTTCGATTGAGTTTCGTTAACTCAAAACAACGACCTATCAGAAGAAGAGAAAATACCTTTATGAGCTCATGAGGACTACAAGTGAAAACAACCATATAGTCTAAAGGGCGGGAAAAACGCAGGCGACCAAGTCGTGATTGGTTTTAGTTTTGTATCTGATTGGTTGAGAGTGGCGCGAGTTTTCTGGACCAATCACAATGCGAAGTAAAGCAACGTCATTGAAAATTTTCGATTACTTTTGACACTCAAATGAAAATCGCTTTATTTTCGTTTGTTTTGATGGGCACTGTTTTTAATTTGGTTTTGGTTTACGACGCGCAAACGAAATGCGCTGAATCTGCGACCATCTTGAATGAGTCTGAATCTGTGACCATCTTGTGGAGGAAATACTTACAGAAGTGTTCCTGTGCTTTAGATTTGATATTTCACTATTGATGCCTCGTAGGTAGACAAGACTTCTCCATTTGCTCTGACCGGGTCCATTTTTGCAAAAGACAGGTTAGTATTTATCTGCTTTGAGTCGAAATTAGATATGTTAGTGAACCGAAAGTGCGTTTACTCTTGTATTTTGGGATGAAAAACCTTGCAGATATTTTATCCAAGAAGCAGCTGATATTCTGAAAGATGCAGCTGGTAACTTTTATATCAACGACAAATCAACTGGATCTGTTGTGGGTCAGCAACCTTTTGGAGGCGCGCGTCTTTCAGGTTAGTTTTCCACGTCACTATCTCATCCCTTTCGATATTCCTATACACTTTTAAAATGATATAACTCCTTGGCTCGTGTGGTTGTTTATAGTTTTGATTTATTATTCCTGCGAGACAGCTTGCTTTCTGGCTACCATATCGGTGACAAGGAGCTAAAATGATCCTGGGCTCGAGATTGCCTGACAGCTAGATTTTGGGCCGCCTCGTAGTCGCTTTAGCGTTTGCACATGCGTAGACTTTTGACCGCTGCGGTCACTTTGTGGCTTGCCGTTCATAGTAGTAAAGTAGGTAATTTAGTGTTAACAACTGAGTTGAAAACGTAAATTCGCTACCGTAAAGGGTAAAAAAGCTGACGTTTCGAGCGTTAGCCCTTCGTCAGCTTTTTTACCCTTTACGGTGGCGAATTTACGTTTTCAACTCAGTTGTTAACACTAAATTACCTGCTATACTCTCCCACCGAGGCAGCACCACAGTTTCTTTAGAAACTTACCCCATTATTCATAGTAGTAAAGTGTTTGATTTGTCCCCATGGTAACCAGTGGCTTTATTCCAGGAACAAATGACAAGGCAGGCAGCTCTCATTACATCTTGAGATGGGTCTCACCACAAAGTGTTAAAGAAACCGTGGTACCAATCGATGACTACAAATATCCGCATCAATCATGAATTACTTCAGTCGGTGCTGTAATTTTCTGAGAAGAACAGAATGTATTCGATGGTTTCAAAGCAAATTTCTGCTCTCGCTAAGGGCAGGAGTGAATGCAGTAGAGGAAGTAAGGAAGAAATCGGAAACTGTCCAGAAATCATCGCAAATGATTTGCAGTTTTAAATGAACGATTTTTTAACAAGCGTTTCAAAAACGTTGGGAATGAGATTGCTCTATTTACTTGAAATTTAATTCGAATAATTTTGGGAAAATTTTGTACAGAAGATGCATCGATATCAAGCCATACGTAGTGAAAATGTGCATGGTTTCTTATCAAGAACAAATGTCTTGAGAAAAACGAATAAATAAATCAATTATCTAATTTTAACCACTGAATATGTCACCTTGAAGATTTCCCAGCGTTCAATTAAGATAGAAGTCCAAATAACGGGGTATTTAATTTATTTTTCTGGCCTTGTGCAAAAATAAACATGATCGTTTTCAATTGTTGTCAGTCTGTGTTGTGGGAACCAGACCTTTTTTAATTAGGGAAATAATTAGTAAGTTGGACTGTCATCAAAGTAACCTGTTTTAGGTGTTCATATGTAAAACGAAGCTCTAAGGTGAAAACCGGGGAGAACCTATCAATCAAAATGACTAGGACAGTTTCAGTTTTTACAAAAAATCCGGTAATTTTATTCAACTCTGCTCTGTGATTGGTCCAGAAAACTCGTGCAATCCTCCCAACCAACCAGATATAAAACTAAAACCAATCTCGACCTGATCACTCGCGTTTTCCCGCGCTTCACCTGTTTTCAACTCAATCGAAAGGCGCACTAAAATCACATATGGTTCTCCCAGCGCTACACGATCCGAGTAGTTTAGTGTGGATAACCGGCAAAAACGCATCAAGAAGTATGCGTTTTCAAACGAAACGGCAGTAGTACAGAAAGGGGCCTGAGGCAGGCGTTTCTCCGACGGTAACATACCATACTTTTACCAGTCAAACAAAGGGGTAGGTTTCTAAAGAAACTGTGTCGCCACGTCGGTGGGATAGAATTACAAGGTAATTTGGTATTATCAACTGAGTTGATAACGTAAATTTGCCACCGTAAAGAGTTTCAAAGCTGACGTTTTGAGGGTTGGCCCCTCATCAGAGTAAATGCTTTAACCAGCCTCATCAAATAGCTCGTACAGTCACGTGGGAATAGGTGTATTACTCAGAGGAGTGGAAGAATGTGAAGGTAGTAGTAGTAGTAGATCTTTATTTAAACTCGGTTAAGAATCTTCAGTTATACTAATAGTATTTTAATTACAATCATTTGTAAAAAATTAAAATAACTATAAAAACTGATTTACAAGATTGCCGAGTGGGAATCGAATGTTTCAAGTGCGCGGTTGATTTCCTTCTTAAACTACCCAATTGATCTAACAATTGCCCAAGGTAGCGGACACGAGCAGATCTTGTTCCTTTTTCGTAAGTGACGATACAGTGAAATTTACACAAAATTTCCTCGTCCCACCTCTGCAGGTGAAGCGGTTTTCTCCGCTCAGATAACAAACTTTTTCTCTAGGTAGTTTGTCTTTAGAGGAGTCAATGAAAAGAAGCGTGAGCTGTAACAATTGCAGGAGCCACGTTGTGAGTTTGACTGAGTTCGTAGCCATTCTGTTACCGACGCTCTAAATTCACACCTGTTATCTCAATATTATTTGCTGAGTAAGATATTCTTGTTACAGCAAATCAACCTTAAAACGGCAAAAATCGCCTAAAATAACCGCGAAAAGACAAGATGGGAGTAAGTTTTATTAATTTTACGTGTAAAAAGTTCATATTTCAAAATATCTCTAGTTGTAAATCGACCATATTCCACCCCCACACTATTCCTGACAACGTGTTCGACGGTTCCTCCCGCAACTTAAGAGGCTGTCCGCGTAAGAACGGTAAGGCAAATTTCGGCCGATCGCCGATTTCCCTAAGTTTTTCAGTGAAAGTCGAAAATTCTATCCCATGTACAAATATCACATTTATTTTGATCATTTTCATTATTTTTATTTTTTATGAGACAATTTTAAAGGTCACCCCAAAACTGCCCAATTTGCCTTCTGTGACCCCAATTACTAAGCTATAAATATCGAGCGCTACCAAATCCTTATTTCCCAATCTAGAGAACTGATTATTTTACATATTTAAGAATGAATTTATTTCAATACTTTAAAGGTAAAATGATTGCATTCTATAAAATTTTTACCGAGTTATGAAACTTTCAAAATACCTTATCGTGAGCATTGAAATTTGTGAGGAGTGAGATACATGCGGTTGAAAGCTATTTTCTCTTACGTGGGACCTGATCTAGAGTCAAGTCTATTGCAGCTCAAAATTACTTAGAAACAGAAAGTTAAACATAGAATAAAACTTTTGGGCACTCCTCATCCTGCACCGTAGAGAGCTTGGCGAATTTCATAAATATTCGCCATCTTGATTGAAACCAACGATAAGGCGGTCCGACCTGCAGACAGGTTTCTAAAGCGTAACAGCCCTAAAGTACTTGAAGGTGCCGCAAAGATTATCTGATGGAGTATCAAGATCGATATAATTCATCGTTTCGGCCATTTTTTCACATGCAAATTAGCTTCATGCGTTCGTGTTATAATACGTGTCAAAAATAGTTTCCGTAACAACATTTAGCCGTTCAAAGAAGTGTTCCTATAAATGTGAAACTCATCTGTTGTATCCTTTCTTGACAGCTTTACGTAAAATTTCAAGAGCCATTTCCTTTGAACACAATGCGCTAGGGGAATCCAGTTTTTTTTGACAACCAAGTTGTTCATTTCGCGCAAGTGTTTTTATCTTGTGCATAATCTTTTCAGACCTCTTTTGCCGTTTTTCTTTGGGAAAATAACTCACCCGTACTTGGGGAAAAATTTCGTCTTACTATTTGTGAAAGTTTTTTAGATTGTGAGCTAGTTGGTTCTCATGATTAACGCCGTGGAGATTTTCAAGCGTGACTGTGGACTGCCGTGAATTAGCCTAGTCACGCAATACCAGCATTAAAAGATTGTCTCACGGCTGGTGAACTCAAATTAAAGAAACATTTAGTTCGGCATTTAAATCATGATATGATGATGTTTCATCGAGAGTATGAAAATCTCCCAGAAGAAATTGAGAAATTATGTAACCGATAGAAATTGGTATATTTAATTTAATAAACGTTTCCAAAAGTAGGTGAGCGAATTTAGTAATTTAAGTTAAAGGCATAAATCATTGAGAAAATTTAGAGGAGCCAATAGAGAAAATCTCTTTTGTAAATGCTCGTACATGCTATAGAGTGAGGGTCAACATGATTCACGGTCACGGTAGACTTATGATTTTTTGTTTTGACATTAAAGGCATGACTACAAAATAACAGGCGCCAATTTAAAAATAATTTTCACGGGTTTAATTACATGTTAATGCTTTAAGCACTTTCATTCATCGATATAGAACTGTACATCAGGGTACTTAGAGGTGGTGCACATTGCTCTTCAACAAATTCACTCTAAATGCCCTATCACTGGTTTGCCAGGGCTCCATGCTGACAGTCATCCCAACCGCGGCCCGTGTGTCACACTTCATTAAAGCACTGACATTCTTGTATAAAGGACATCAGTTGCTCAATCAGGTCTTTTTTCCTGTCTCTTGATTTAAATGGTATTCCAAAAAAGCGCAAGATTTCTTTAAGCATTCGTTAGAATCTTCCTAGCAAGTGTCTGTGCCTCGGGCAGATGGTCATTCCCTCGAGCTCACTTCTCGGCAAATGCTGAATTCCCGCTCTCGCTATGATTAACTTGGCTTCTGTAACTTCGCTGTATTTTGACAAGTAGCAGTTCGCCAAATGGGCGGATATATCTGCGTTACACTCGGAGAACAAAGCATGCTCTACTTCCTCCCCACTAGAACCGACTTTGCAGTATTTCGTAAAGAGAACAATTTGGGGGGACAGCAGGCATTTTTAGTGCTAACAAAGTAAACGTCCCAAGAAACACTGTCTCGGATTTGTCTGAAAATGTTGCCGACAGATCGTTTTGTTCCCGACAGATTTTAATTGAACTAGGAAGAAATAAACAAGTTTGCAAAATATTCTTTCGCAAAAAATAGAAATGCCACACAGAAAAGTTAAAAAGTCTTCACTTTAATAAGCTTTAAGCAAAAAACATTTCGTGTGTTTTTGAAGAGATGTACCTGTATTAAAAGGAAATGTAACTACCGTCGAATTTCTTTATCAAAATTAATCTGTAATTTAATTAGGTGAAACAGAAACACACGGCTCTTTTTTAGCGCCTCATAGAAAATGAAAATGGTCATAAAAATATAATACAAAATTTTTGTCTTGAAAATGCGGAAAAAATTCCTAAAAAAAAAAAAAAAAAAAAAAAAACACACACACACACACACAGAACTCTTGGTCATCAAGAAAACGCCAAAAAAAAAATGTGTCCTAAACTAACTTTCTGTAGCTAATTTGCATAATTTATTAACCGCAAGAAAGCTCTCCATCCTTGTTTGTTCTTCAGCACACCTATATCTCAAATACAACGGCGTAAACGTGATATAATACTTATTTCTGATGTACAAACCAACCTCTCATCATTTATTATTTGATTTTAAGGTGGTTCTCAGCCCCGATATTAATAAACTGTCGGACCGTGTTTTATCGAGATTAAAACACTTGAGCGAAATAAACAACTTTATTTATCAAAACAAACTGGATTCCGTTGGCGCATTGTGTTCAAAGAAAATGGCTCTTGAAATTTTACGTAATGTATTCAAGAAAGGATACAACAATTGAGTTTCCACATTCTTAAAAACACTTCTTTGAATGGCTAAATGTTGTTACGGAAACTGTTTGTGACGTGTATCGTAAAAACACGATCGGCTGCAGTTAATTTGAATATAGGAATTAAAAAGTATTTTCATTTCGTTAAAAAAAAGGCCAAAATGATGATTAACATCGATCTTGATACTCCATCACATAATTGTTCCTGCACCTTTGAGCCTTTTAGTTTAAAGTTTCATAACTCGGTCAAAATTTTACAGAATGCAATCGTTTCACCTTTGAAGTATTGAAATAAAGTCATTCTTAAATATGTAAAATAATCAGCTTTCTAGATTGGGAAATAAGGATTTGGAAGCGCTCGATATTTATAGCTTAATTATAGGGGCCACAGAAGACAAATTGAGCAGTTTTGGGTGACCTTTAAAATTGTCTCGTAAAAAATAAAAAGAATGAAATTGATCAAAATAAATGCGATATTTGTACATGGGATAATATTGTTGACTTCCAGTGAAAAACTTAGGGAAAGCGTGACGCTTTCATGAAGTTTAAAATCATTCGCTTTTTTTCTCGAGACATAAGCTTGGGAGGCCTCTGCTGTGATTGATTACATCGGCGTTGGGGATATTTAGGGTCCATCTTGTTCCCGCTAAGGATGTTCTAGTGGTTATATTTATTACCAAATACTCTGTCGAAGGAATAGACAGTGGTGAAGGAAACAGTCGAGATCGGCGGCAAGAAATCGAGGTGAGAACTTAGCTAAAGCCCTCGCAAACGACCGACAGCGAACACGTGGTTTTGAAAAGCAAAGTTATTTACCTCCAGTAGCCTTTTTTGCGTTTGACATCGCGTGTATTATTTAAGTTGTATTCAAAAACTCGTATCTGAGACCAGAATATTCCATAATTTTCGCTAAGGGCACCCTTTAAACGATGAATTTGATGCAAAAGCGAACGTGACGCGTAATCCGATCAGCTGATTAGTTGTCATAGAGGAGTGTATTTTTTGATTATGTGCGATGCAACGGCGATTTTGAGTATGCTTTTTGTCTTTGTTAACTTCAATTAACAAACGGAACGAAAAAATTGTCGTTTTTATATTTTTAACGAAGGAGAAGATATTGAAGAGGGAAAAGTCTGCAGCGTCTAGTAGTAACCGGTCAAGTCGCTCGGAAGTCATCTCTTCTGAAGTCTGTAGCCTGGAACCTGAGTTGTGTCGCCCAAAATTTTATTCATGTCGCCCTAAATAAAAAGACAAGTCGTCTAAAGAAACAAATACTTAAAAGATCAGACTTACACAGTGTAAATAGGCTATATAGGTGAGAAATCTTTATCATGCACTAAAGTGCTGTTTGTTTGCGAGAACATCGTAAAGATGATGATCAGAATAGGGATATGTTTAAGAGACAACTTTAGAAGCGTTATTCGTTTCTAAAAACAAAATGATCAGTTGTTTGTTTGTTGTGTACTCATTTCGTACTCACAGACGCTTCATAAACTTGAGAAACTTTACCACTCAAGCGGTGTTAGTTTCTAACAACGCCATGAAGACTGATTTGTACACAAAAATCGATCACATGGTCAGAATTGAAATATGTTTGAATAATGACTCTAAAAGCATTGCACTATCTGTTGGGTATTCACTCATTTCATACCCACCAACCTTTTGTAAACTTAAGAAACTTTATGACTAAAGTGATGTTGGTTAATTTCTAACAACACCATGAAGACATAAAGAGCCGGGTCTGTAGGGAAAGGTCTTTCGTAAGTGAAGCCATGATAGGCAGTGCAACTGCTGTCATGCGCTCGGCCTGTTTGTTTGAAAACGAAAGGATCATAATGTCAACAAGCACTAGATAAAAAACGAAAAAACGCAAAGGCCCTTTACTTTTTTGTTAGTTTTAAACAGCCTGCATGTTGTGTACCATGATAGCCGAAAATCGCGAAACTAAACTAAACTAAGGCCGTGCGAGCATATTATTTTTGCGTTATGCGGAATAATGGCATTTAAACAATCATATTTTAAAGAACACTGAAAAAACGAAATTACGTCGCAAAGCAACTTGTCCCTGTACACAATCAGTAATTGTCGATGTCCTACAAGCGATTCTAAGTATGGCAATTCTTTTTGTTCAGACATTTTTAAATCTACAAATGGAATTACCGCGTGTCCTCCGAGGGGTCCAGTTGCTACCAACCTCATCAAGTCTCGGTGCGACAAAGGACGATGTTTGGTGTTCAGTGCCAACCTTAATGTATACTTTTGTTAATTAGGAGTTCTGTTGTTAATGTCTGAAAATGAAAGAAAGCAATACAAACTTTAACCCGTAATTTAGATTTGATAAAATCTTTATAATAAGTGTATCGTTAACGTACAAACCTTCAAATATGCCTTCGCAAGAAACCGTAGAATGCTACCTTGGTTTGAGTACACCGATCTACAAAATATAATAGATAAAATGAACAGAACGCTACGTTTAAAAACATTATAAACGAGCCAAAACAAAAAAGCAGCAGAGAAAGTACAGTGGAATCAAGATTTTTTCCAACATTCAAGATAAACAAAACTTTGTTCAAATAATAAGGTAGCTTTAGGAATCGGGGTAAAGTTACAGTGTTTGACTGAGGGAAGGGAAACAGCATTTCAAGGGTTCGAGTTATCAGGAGGTTCGAACAATAGGGATTCCACTGTACACTCACATGTCGTAACTCCGATATGGGTGGGGCAACGTGCAGCCACAATCCACTATGGTGGAATCCTTGGCCTCTTCGAAAGAAATGCCCAAACAAACGCAGTGGTAGCACTCAAAGCAGGTAAGGCACTGCACCATCTCATTGCGACTTGAATGTTGGGTGTTAAATCCTCGCCTGAAAAACGCACAAGAAAGCATCTAATGCACCACACTTCCACGGCAGAAGGAGGCATATATGGTTGAAGGTGTTTCCTTGTCCTGTAAGTGGCTGGAAGCAACAAGGAGGACTTTGTTTTGTGTTGTACCATACAGCCCCAGACAGTTCGCAGTGCTGTTGTATTGGTTTCTTCAAAAAGCCGGCAGCAAAGGTTACCTGTAAGAGTTCTTTAAAAAAATGCGGATGTCAGTATTGTAATGCCAACTTGCCTGGAGAAACGAGCTGATAACTGGTTGTAATGAGATGATAAAGATGTGGAATTGATTCAAAAGAAGTCACAAGTTAGTTACCAATATTAGTAAAATTCTTTAAGGCATTGAAGACTTGGCTTTGGACACTTTTTGTGACAATTTCCTGAATGGATTTGCCTTTAATTTCCTGAACCTCGTTTGGTGAAAGGCTCACACTGGCTGCCCACTACAAAGCATCGCCTCTATCACTAAAATGCCACGCATTCTGTAAAAAGAAATATGACAGAAGCACAAAGTAACTCCTTTTAAAGTTATATTGCGAATGGAATATAATTTTTCAAAATGCAGTTTAGTTACTTCTAAAGAGAGGGTTATAAGTAACTACAGGAACGGTTAACACGACACTGAGATGACTACTATTCCTACAATTTTAGCCAGTATTGTATTGTAAATAATCATGCAATTCAGCCTTATTAGGCTGCCATGGGATTTTTAATAAAGATATCTATCCATCTACTACAAATATTAGTTTATTGGACAGTTGTCAAATATGATTGAAAACCATGTGCACAAAAAATCATTGTGTAATTATCAAAAGTGATCAAAGGATTTTGGGTTTTGCAAGCAGTCAATGAAACAAATGAAGTTGATGAAAAGAAATGAATTGACATGAATGGCAGTTAGTGTTTAGAGGATAATGAAAAAAACCACAACCTTATATTGCTTGCTAAGTAATCTGAGAATATCAAAGTAGCAAATTTCTCTAACAGCTGGATTAAAATATTTCTGTATAACAAGCAACCACATAAACAAGCACCTAAAGAAAGAACTAATAAATAAATTTTCAAAAAATTAATTTAAGATTGATTTATCATGCCTCAGTCTCAGCTTTGAAAAGGAGATCCAGAGGTAAACCTCTGTTAAAGTTCACTTAAAACATAAAACAAGGATGTTAAAATTGTACACTAATAAGCTTAGCAAACATAACAAAAAATAACTGATTGTTCTTACTTCATCAACAATGTGGTCATAGTGAGCAAGACCATACATTGCTACACCTGGTCTAAAAAATTCAACGTCACTTTCATGTGCAGACATGAGTATGGATAGTGAATTATAAAAGCAGTTTCCATCCCCACTTGAGGAGAATGGCTCCAGACCAAGCTCACAAATGGACTGGTCAACATAGCTGGAAAATCTCTAAAAGCAATAGAATATGAAGTTAATAACAACCAATACAATAAAATTTATAAATGAAAATAATGATAATAGTAACAATAATAATGATGATGATAATCATTCCAAGTTAATAACTTTTACTGAACTTTTTACTGCTCAGGAAGTCTGCGCTGATTCTTGCTGCTGATAAGCTGACATAGAGAGATCTTCAGGAGATGTTCCAGGTGGTGAGGAGATAAACTTAAATTCACCTCCCAAGGCAATCTGACCATGCACCCTAAAATGTCCCTTGCAATTTGGGGCTTTATGATTGTATGGATTTCAGTCTAGGAAAGGAAAAAACACCTTGCATTAATAGGTAGATCACAAATTGATAAACAAAATAACATTAATATTAATAGTCAAAGGCTGTTAATTAACTCTCATGAATGTTTGCCCTCATGATGGATTCCTCATTAAATGCCCCAACCCTAATCATCAAGTTGAAAAAAAAACTTTTTGAACATCACACTAAAGAGCTGGAATTGGCCTGGCATTAGTGGACCCTTAAATAAACAATATCCACCTTTTGGAGTTAGTAGGACCAAACTGCTTGGACATAGCCCCCTTCCCAAGCTTCTAGCTAAACAACTGGTATTAAAACTTTAGCTGACAGCTGATGAAATGACATAGAGAATGTTCAGGAATGGTAAATTCAAAACAAAATACTTGCATCCTAGACTCGATTAAATTGTGAAATAAATAAATGAAATAGTATGTTTGTTTATTTGTTTGCCACACATACATGCACAAAAAGTAATGAACAAAAAGGAGTTCAATTAATAACAGGAAGCTTACGTCTTCATTCAGTTTTCCTAGAATACTCAGCATCTTTGATGTTTGGATCTGATTCAGTTCACTGCAGGTTTGCAGTACAGATTGCCACATATTACCGCAGTAAACTGATTCACTCCCAAATTTCTTCTTTACAATGTCCTCAAATACAAGAGAAGGTTAAATGTGACCTTCAGGAGTAGCCAAGGGACGATCAGAAATGGAAGTGGTGACAGCAGGTGTTGATGAAGGAGCAGGAGGGCAAATGGGGCTTGCAAAAACTTCAGGGGCAGATGAGGGAGGATCCGAAATAAAAGCAGAAGCTGGTGTTGATGATACAGGAATGGGAATCACAGGACTGTGAGCAGAACCATTTACTGTGATGTCAACCTCTTGAGGGTGCTGTTGTTGATTCCAATTTCTGTATGAATGCATTACTGAAATTAAATTGTCCAGATGTGGTCGCTTGCTGCTTTTATTTACATCTGTGAACTCAACTTCTTCAGGCCACCAAACTGGTCAGCATGCTTCTTTCCCCCATCCAGGCTCAGATCTCCCTACATGAAAATACACCATATATATTCTGCAAATTTATGGGAAAATTGACAGTGGGTGCTTAAATTTTTACATTTAACAACTGCATTACTATTCAATTTAGCACTTTAGAGAAACAAACTTGTGGGTTGTATGATTAGAATAGACAAATTGCATAGCCTTTTAAGTACATCACCCCCAAAATTGTTTGCATTTGTGAAAAACGAACCGTTTATCCAGTTTGCTTTTTTAAATTTCTTTACCATCTTTTTTGACTTCCCTAACAACCATTTTCCTCAGATCTACCACTCTAAATTGCACAGGGTCTTCTGGTGGTATGTCATCATCAGCTGCCATTTCTTGAGCTTGAACTTGTTGCACTATAGGAAATAAACATTCAAACTGTATTGTACTGTAAATTAAAATCTGGAAGCAGAAAGGTGGGTACTTATAACAGATGCAAAACAAAATGATGTTAAAATGCACTCAGAATTTAATGAATTAAACTAGTTAAAATAAGTATTACTTGTATAGAGAAGTGAATGAGAAATCAGAAAAATGTTCCATATCTTCCATACCTTAAAATATACTGTGGGCTGTAAATAACATCAATCAGTGCCTTAAACTGTCAAAGCATTAAACCTGTTGCAATCCAGAACTGGCCTTTCCAAAATGCAAAGCAGAGTGCTGACAGCTTAGTCCTAGCATACCATTCTTGCATCTAAAAGCAAAAAGAGAGAAATAAAGCAAAAATAGAGGAAGAAAGCCAAGCAGACAGACAGACAGACAGAAAGGAAGGAAGGAAGGAAGGTAGGGCTAGTTTAGAATAAAAAAAAATCCTGAGGTACTGCATTGTTAGGGATGTAGATACAAACAATTTCAACCCCGATATCATGAGCTTAAAAAACAGTTTTTATTTAAAGTCTTGTTAAATTACATTGGGAAATTCAAATAAATAAATAAATAAATATAAAAATATATATATATATAAAATTAAAAAAAGGAAACACTGAAATACTTTTGTTTGCATAGACTTCATGTACCGTCTATCCATCTGGTTACGCTTGTTTGAGTCTGTCTCAAACGCCACCTGAAAGAAAATAGAAAATGAAAATCTCATATACAACAGCTTGCAACCTGAACAATGAAATCATGCTCCCACACGTGAAATATAAAACTTACAAAAAAAGGACTCTCTTTTTCTTGCACGACCAGCAGTAGCTGGGGGATCCTCCTCGTGACTTTGGGCTTCCTAAAAAAAATAAGGAATATCGAAAATAGATCGGTGTGAATTAAAAAAATTAAATACAAAAATACCACACGATCACGATTCTCCGGGAAAGTCTGATATGCTCGTTGTAACAAAAGCAAAGAGCTACGGAAGAATGAATGTCAGCGCCGAGAAATATACTTGCTCCTTTTTACAAAATGTGATAAAATTAAAACGCATTCTTTCCGCCATAATGATGGGCCACTGTAATAGGTGGTGTATGTATCATGAAGTGTACCAGCAGCTGGTGGTTATTTTCGTCCCAAAGCCCCTCACGGTTTCAAAATGGCGAATTATCGTGGGACACTCGTTAAATCATATCTCTTGTGACTCGTCTTGGTTCAGCCCTGACACTGGCCATCGCTCTTCGGAATCATGTTTTTCAGGGTGTCACCTCTGCATGTTGACATTGTTATCGATTTGAACGTGAAAGCTGCCTCATCAAACGTTCTCACAGTTGTACGTTTTACTCCCCTTAACTATACAACAGATGCACGTGAAGTCATAGACTGGCTTTTATTTTGTATTAGTTAACTCCAAGGAACAAGCGGAACGCAAACATCGTCATGTTGATATTTTAGGGAAGGAGAAGGTGGTGACGACGAGGAGCTGCCGGAGGAAGAGTCTGCAGCTTTTAGTGAGTGAAATGTTTTCATCTGGTACAAATTCAACATAGCAACCTTGATTTTTGAATGCATATCCACAAGAATGATCAAAGTTAACTCTATTTTTCGCAGTAGATCAGTATGTTCGTGTTGAACGTGATAATTTTACTCCATTTGAATGATAGTTTTGTTTGAATGTGTAGTTGTTGACCCCCCCCCCCCCCCACGTTTCCCTCAGCTTCTGCTGCTCCCAGTTCTGCTTCCCCTGTAGTTAGTAGCTTTAGACTTTTCAAAGAGCATTAGGCTAATTTTCCAGATGATGAAGCTGTTAACAGGCCTGTAAATTATTCTTTTCATGATTTCCCAATGACATTGTGAGACAGTTTTTGAGAATTATGAGTCACCTGTGAATACCAAAGTGAAACCAGCCCCCTGTTCCTCTTCCTAACCAACCTCCTCCCCAAGTTGGTGGAGTTTAGGAGTATTTCAGTTTTCCAGTTTTCTCTGGGAAATAGATATGCTTGGTGGTATGTCTACAGAAAGGCAGGGAATCTTTAAGAGTTTAGTCTTACCATAGTGCCCCATAGTGTCAGAAGTACATTCATGCAAATGATGATTCCAATTGCTGCACAGTGTGTCATACTAAGGAGTGTTGTTATGATAGTTAAATATTTAGCATACTATTTTACCCTCTGCTTGATTTTAACCATAGGTAGTGGTTTAAGATTTTTTGTTTCCTTAAAGAAAAATACCAAAGAAGAATAAAAAAAGAGAAAAAAACAAATTGAAAATGTGAAGAAAGGAAATACAGAATACCATAGTTGCCACTTTATAGCATTTATCTTTGTCAGCCATGAGGTATGATAGTTGTGTTTTAATTCTTAATTTGTCGGACGGGCCTCCCATTAAATTGTAGGGATAGTGAAAGGCAAAATTATTCACTTGGTAACACTTCAAGTACTGTCCCTGAGCTGAAACACCCCTTATTTTTGTCCAAAAATACTCTTTCACTGTTGATATTAGTTACTGACAAGGGCATACTTAAAACATAGGCATGCTATGCATGCAAGAGTATTTTTTTTTTTTTTTTTTTGATGGGTGGGTCAAAATAGGAAACTAAGCAACTGATTTTTGCATTTTTGTAAAAGAAAAAGAGTATTTACCTATGAAAGATTCCAATAAAGATGTTAAATGGAGAGCAAAAAAACAAAATCTTCCAATTTATCAGAAATAAACTCAGAGAAACATTTTAAGGTCTATTGCCACTGGTGTCTGAATAATTGTTAGCAAAAATGAACAACATTAGTGCAGAAAAGTGGTGAGAAAAGTATCATATTTCAAAGCATAACAACATGGGCTCTTTATTTGGTAATTGCCTATCTGTACTTTGCCCCATTTGTGTGGAATACATGATAAGATGCAGGCTGTCTAGAAGGAATTGACATGTGATGGGATGAAGTCCTAGGCAGCTAAAAGTGAATTTGATTGGTAAATCATATCTTAGCACATGAGAACTGCATGGAAAATTGACTAACAGTAGCATTTAGTTCCATGTGAAATTTTTTCAGTGGAGTGGGATTATGTTGTAAAATTTAGGTTGTTTACTGGAAAATGGCAATTATCTGAGAAAGTCTAGTTCATAGCAACAAGTTAACATGTAATTGTATCAGGAAAATACCTTTTAAACACAAGATGACTAACAGAAGCATGGAGAACTTTTAAAAGCAAAAATAAATATATAGTCCACATCACAGTTGATGCAGAAAGTAAATATAACTTTGTGATTTTTTCAGCTTTTGCAAAAAGAGCAATCAAAAGGCAAAAACTAGATTATTGATCAAATCTGCTTTATGCAAATGCTTTGCACAATTTTTATCCCAGTCAACAAAACACTAGCCCTTCCAAAACAAAAGTTCTAGTGATAATTTCATGAAAGGCCTTGAGCCAATGGCATGTGCATTGTAAGTGAAGGAGTGTTACACAAAACATGTTTTAACTTCTAAATGGTAGAAAAAAATTCCCTGATCACCTTTCTAACCTCCTACAGGTCATAGCAATGAAGTTCTTAGAAGAAATTAACTATTACACTGGGTAGATGAGCTCATAATTCTTTGTTAATGCTATTCTTGGTGTTTATCAATGTTAGTTTGATTCCATTGCAACATATGACAGTACCCTAATTTTATGATGTGATTGGCATGAGGGACAATACTGTGACACTTTGATTGGTGCAAGCATACCTCATTGCTGTGATCTGATTAGTGTGAGATACATACCCTAATGCAGAAGTCAGATTAATGCAAGATACATACTCTAATGTGCCCATCCAAGATAAATACCATTTGATATGCCAACATAGGGTCATATATTTAATATTTTTGCTAATAACTCAAAAATCATTAAAAAATTAATCTTTACTCTTTTTCAGGAAATGTGAATTTTCAGGAAATTCTGATCTGTCTGAGTCAGAGCATCTGCTGTATTTATCACTCTTCAGGGGAACAAGCCCCTAAAACTCAGTGCTACGGTTCAGGCTCAGTAAAACACATGCATGCATCATATCTGTTGACATGGTTCAAACAAGAGGTAAAGAAAACTTGTGAATTGTGCCATTTAAGTGATATCAAGAAAAAGGGCAAACCATATATGCTGAGGTAATTGTTATTTCTAAGCCCTTTTCTATTGAGTTGTATTGGTTCAGTTGATCTTCATTTTACCAGGGTCAACATTTTTGTTTTCATTGTCACCTTTGTAACCTTTGCCATACCCCTCCCCCCCTGGTCCTCTATTTTTCCCCCCCCCCTCTCTTTGAACTTTTGTCTCTCTCTTCTCCCATGTTTCTGTTGGGAAATTGGGCAAAACAAAGGTGTTTGATAGATTAAGGATTTTTCTTTACTGAATGAAGTAGAGGAAGCAAGACAGTGGGCTACAAAGAAAATTGAATTTTTTCAGAACCAAAGTTAAAACCATATCCTTGTACTATTTCCAGATTTTCACATTTCTAGACTATCAACTTAAGATACATCCAACTAAGCTAAAGAATTATTGGTGTATTTCCAGAATTCCACATTTCCAGACTACTGAGATAAATGTAAGTTAAAGACTAATTTGTATATTTCTAGATGTACCAAGTTAATATGCTTGTGAGTAAGCTAATTGACATATTACATATTTTTACACATTTTTCTCTAAGGTGATGAATTTGATGTGCAGCACATTCCATTGTGATGACATGTTCTGTGCTCTTCTACCCCAAGTTAAAGCCCAATTTGTTTATATTGAGACAAAGAACTCCTAACAATAATTGCAGATGTGCACATCTTAACCCTTTACTTCCTGGAAGTGATTAACATGTAGCTTCTCCTTGTTGTATCCATAAGGTAATGAGAATACCTTCAAGTTTTTATCTTGATCTAACCTCAAATTCTTGTAATTAATTTACAATGAAATGTATAGCAGCTGAAGGGGAGAAGTAGCAATCAGTCCTTGGAAGTTAATGGGTTATAAGCTTCAGAGAACAGAAAGCATTATGGTTATAAATGTTTTGAATACTAAAGATTAAAATTGTCAGTAGCTGACAGATTCACATGTTCATGTAAATAGGGTATTGAATATTTGTTAACTTGTGAAAGAAACTTGATTAAAAATAGGGTCAAGCAATTTTTCATTGTGTGTTAACCCTTTAAGCCTTTCACTCCCATGAGTGACCAAGACAGAATTTCTCCTTACAATATCAATACAATATCAAGCAGACAAGTGATGGGATTGAAGAAAATATCAGCTAGGGGAAGGGGAAGGGGAAGGGGATTATTAGTTGATCCAATACCAAATTCTCCAAACTAAACATGCATATTATGAAAAACTAAACATGATTGTGTATGATGAAAATTTGGACCAGAATTTTCAATATCTGGTTGGGCATTTATTTGAGGTAATAAGCTATTTTCATTTAATTTTTTAAAGATGTTTTATTGCTGGTTTAAGACAGGGTGTGGAATTTTGGTCTAGGTTTAAAATAGGGTTGGAATAATTTTGTATTTCAACCTAAGGCAGGGCAATAGTTGATTTTAAGAAGGGTGCTCTCTCTGCTAAAGAAAAGGTACTACTGAAAAAAGCCTCTATTTGAGCTGATCATGTTTCTCAGATAAATTATTTCTACTTTTGTTTGATATTGAGAAGGCTTTACCAACCCCCCTTCCCCTGCCCCACCCCCATCGCCTTCCTTTGTCCAATTTTTTTTTTGTTTCAAAACTTTTTGTAAAGCTCTTTACTCTGTCTGATATGTCTAACCATAGGGGCTGAATTGACAACAACTCAAAGAATAAATCTGCTTACATGATTTATTCAACAATCATCTGATAAACTTAGGAGTTCTGCTCTTATCTACAAATACTAGTCAGTGAAATCTCAACTGTCAAAGTCTTATCATGGTAATAGTAACAGGCAAAAAATATGTGAGAAAACACTTTAATATTTAAAGCTACTGCATACACCTTAAAAAAATTGTGTAACGTAATATATGTCTCACACCACTAACCTACAATAAAGTCTTTTGTCTTTGAAAAGTAATGGGTTTCCTTATTTACAATTTGTTTACAATTTCATCAGCAGACAGTATGAAACTACTCGAACCGGATCGCTTTGATCGAAAAGAAAAACAAACAGAAAAAAAAAAACAACCCTAGGAAGCGATCTGTATCGTATTTACTCATCTGATCCGCCTATAATCTCTAAAAGAACTTCAATAAACTAAACAGAAAACTATTTCTTATGACAGACAAAAGTGGTCAAATCATACAGAAGCAAGCAGTAAATTTAAGATCGAAATAAACCAATCATAAAATGATAAAGTTTCCTGAGAGGTCCGAGGTTTGTTTGTTTTCTATGCAGTAAGTTTTGTGTTTTAACTTCAATGTTAATTGGTTCGTTTACAAAAAAAGACACTTTGACATCCTTTGTTCTCAATAAACATGTTCATTGGTTCATTTTTCTTCATTTCGATCCGGTTCAAATAATCTCTCTGCTCTGAGCGCTTCACAAACTTTGTTTTCTTTCGTTCATTCACGATTTTAGTGGTTGTGTTGTAATTGTCACTGAGCTGGTTACCTCACATTTTGAATTGTAAGTGATTATTTAACTTTTTTTCCAGATTAAGCAATTATTTGTGAATTGGCGATGTTAGATAATAAGGCGACAGTTAGACTGACTATTGCTAAGTAAATTCTTTGCGTGTTGTTTACCTGCTTCTGTGATGTTATTGTCTGTGAGGTCTAACGTGCGTAGCTGACAGTTGTTGTTGTTGATGGCTTCAGCCAAGTGCTGTGCTCCAATGTCTGAGATGTTATTTGTTGAGAGGTTTAACGTGCGTAGCTGACAGTTGTTGTTGTTGATGGCTTCAGCCAAGTGCTGTGCTCCAATGTCTGAGATGTTATTTGCGTAGCTGACAGTTGTTGTTGTTGATGGCTTCAGCCAAGTGCTGTGCTCCAATGTCTGAGATGTTATTTGCTCTGAGGCTTAACGTGCGTAGCTGACAGTTGTTGTTGTTGATGGCTTCAGCCAAGTGCTGTGCTCCAATGTCTGAGATTTTATTTGCTGTGAGGTTTAACGTGCGTAGCTGACAGTTGTTGTTGTTGATGGCTTCAGCCAAGTGCTGTGCTCCAATGTCTGAGATGTTATTGTCTGTGAGGATTAACGTGCGTAGCTGACAGTTGTTGTTGTTGATGGCTTCAGCCAAGTGCTGTGCTCCAATGTCTGAGATGTTATTTCTGTGAGGTTTAACGTGCGTAGCTGACAGTTGTTGTTGTTGATGGCTTCAGCCAAGTGCTGTGCTCCAATGTCTGAGATGTTATTTTCTGAGAGGTTTAACGTGCGTAGCTGACAGTTGTTGTTGTTGATGGCTTCAGCCAAGTGCTGTGCTCCAATGTCTGAGATGTTATTTCTTGTGAGGTTTAACGTGCGTAGCTGACAGTTGTTGTTGTTGATGGCTTCAGCCAAGTGCTGTGCTCCAATGTCTGAGATGTTATTTTCCCAGAGGATTAACGTGCGTAGCTGACAGTTGTTGTTGTTGATGGCTTCAGCTAAATACTTTGCTCCTTCGTCTGTCAATTGATTTCCTCTGAGGTTTAACCAGCTCAGTTGAGATTTACTACATTTTAACAACTTACAAATTTCAAAACAACCTAATGGACCAAAGTTATTGAAGGCCAAATCTAAATGTGAAATTTGTTGAACATTCTTAATTACAGTAACTACTGAAGCACAATCAACAGGTGTGAGTTGACAATCATTAAAATTTACAAAATTAAAGTTAATTTGTTGTAGTTTTCTCTGAACTATTTCCTCCATCTCACTACTTTCGTTAATGCATTTAAATAATGTCACTGCTAAATGTTTTTTGTCTTCAGTCGGCCAACAAGTTACTTTCCTTGGCTCCATATCCTCTGTCCACTCTTCGTTGTACAACTCGCTTTCTTTCTCTTCAGTTTCCACAGGAAGAAGGTCTGTGATGATTTCGCTCGGTAGGTTTTCTTTCTCGTTCATTAGTCCTGCTAGAAACTGAAAAACCAGCTGCCATTTGCCGTCCGCGATGTTCGTAGAAACAAAGTTCCTCAGTTCTGTTTCATCCATGTTTGCTAGGTGCCTCGCAGCGAAAAACTCTTGCATTGTTAAATGAATGAAACAGAATTGTTGTTCACGTTTTAGCGCGGCAGTTTCACGGTCGGGTAAGCGGTGAAAAAGAGCGCTGCCTTCCAATCCGCGTACTTCGTTTCCCCCGAAGACCAGCCTTCCTTCTTTAATTCCTTCAAATGCCATTTTTTCAAGTTTCTCGAATTTCTTTTCCACGTTAGGGGGCAAATTATCTGATTCAAAATCTTCGCGAGTGAAATTCTTGCCGCGGAATTCTTCGTTGTGTCTTAAGTAAAATATTTTCACTGCTTTCTTGTAAATATCTGTTAATTTCGTTGGTAGGCTAAGACTTTTAGAACCATAGAACTTCACCATTTGAAAGAGACTTGAGCAAATGATGAAGCAACTCGCAGGAATGTAGCATAGAGAGAGAATGTTCCTGTTGCCGCCGATGTGTCGCCATATTGTTTCGCCCGCATGCTTGTCCTCTTCAGCAAATTTGGTTACGTACTCTTCGACTTGTTCGGATGAGAAGCCGAGGATCTCGAAGACTTTGTCGAAATTAACACGCTCGATGCATGACAAAGCCGTAGGTCTTGTGGTTGTCAAAACGGCAGCTCCGTTGAGAAGTTTCCCAGTCGCGAGTTTCTCGTATAGAGCATACAAGGGCATCTTCTCGTCTGCGCGGTTTTTAAATTGAGGCTCGAAGTTTTCCTCGCCGATCTTTGACTTATGTTTAAATTCATCGATTCCGTCGAAAATCAGGAGAACTCTTTGGGGGTTCTCAAGGATGTAATTCCAGACTTCATCATCTATGTGATCTGAGGGGGAATGTTCTGACGATGTGAGCAGTTCCCGGAGGCTAAGGTCGGTTGCCGCGTTGAATGCTCTGAATTTGATGAAGAAAGCAGCATCGAAATGGATTTTATCATCAGATGATTCATGGAATACTTTGTTAAATGCCCAGTCTCTGAGGAGTTTGGTACAGCAAAGTGTCTTTCCGATTCCGGGACGACCAACAATCAAAACGTTTTTGTTTTCGTGGTTAAGAATGTCCTCCGGCCCTCTTGGTGTTGTGTTTTCCCCACCCGATCTGGTGTAGACTTCGAGTTTCTGCCGTCTGTCTCCAGTAAAGTCATAATTAGCCATGTCTGGAACAACGACAAGGTTTGTGTAAATCTGATCCAGAGTCAAATGTTTAGCTGGGCGTCCTTCGCCGGGAGTACTTGAAAAAGGCGACCGGAGTTGGGGAGTTTGATTGGTCTCCTCTTTAATAATTTCTTTTGTATCCTCGATGAATTTCTGAAGCGGTGGTTTCTGAAGTTGTTGAGGCTTGCTTGGCAGATGTGGGATGTTCGTTTCATTTTCTTCACTTTCCTCTTCCTGGTGTTGTTCTTGTGGGGTGTTCGTTTCTTGCTCTGTTCTTTCTTCTTGCTGCGGAGGTTCAGGTCTCAACCGAGTCGATGTGGTAGCATTTTGCGAGTCGGCATGGAAGGGATTCAGGTGAGCCTTTAGAAACTTGGAATTTTTCATGAAACTATCCTCTTTCCAGGCTCGTAGCAAAATATAGACGGTTTCTAACAGAATGCCAAAGAGAAAAATTCCGTTCACGACAAGAACAGCGCGCATCCAGGAGTTTTTCTTAGTTGCTCGTTGATTATGACAATCGTGCCAGACGCCAGTAGAATTCCTTGGCTGACTCCCTCCAGAGGTTAGATAACAAGGGAAGTTGGGAGGGAAGTCCCGAGGATAAAGAAACTGTTTTTGTAGAACCATGAAGAGAACTCCTAAAACAATCCTTGCGAAAAGTTGACAGCAGTAAGCGATAAACAGCTTTTTACTAGAAAGTGCGTTTCCTTGGTCGCGCAACTGCCCCTCGAGATCACCGTTACGAGCGCTTGGCGACAGTTGATTGATTGTGAGGCTCGCTATTTGGGAGTAAATAGCACAGACAGTTCCGATGAGGAAGAAATTCATGATCACGAAGGCATAGATAGGAACATCGTGTTTGTTATACTGCTTCTCGTATAACTCGAAACATCTTCCACGGACAAGGTCGATGTTTTCACTCTTCGCCCCGCCACAGCGGAAATCATACCTGGATTCGCTGTTTTCTGCGTCTGCAAAAATGCCAAGGAAGATTACA